TTTTTTTTTTTTGTTTTTTTTTTTGCTAATTTTTTGTTGCACCGCCCATTGTATTATTTGGTTATTTATTGTTTAAATAGTGTATGAGTACACTTGCTATGTCAATCTCTCGCGTGCCATGTATTTTACATAGTAAATACTACTATTATTCGGTAGTTGTTGCACTAATTTTTATACTGTCAAGGTGCACATTGTTAAAATAAATTGCAAAATTGTACTTTCATTTCATTGGACTTTGCGAAATGCACGAATAGCTAAAGAGAAAATGAAAAAAAATATGCCCACAATGATATATTATATATTGAATATGTGCATATATACGAGCATATGTATGGGGTTATCCAATTTGTGGTTTCAAAAGTACAGCGCTGAATTTTGACATCAGGCATTTATGACAAACCAAACATGTTTTGTTTTAGTTAAAAATCAGGCATTTATGAAAAACCAAACATGTTTTGTTTAAGTTAAAAATCGGGCATTTATGAAAAACCAAACATGTTTTGTTTTAGTTGAAAATCAGACATTTATGAAAAACCAAACATGTTTTTTTTCAGTTAAAATCGGAAAAAGGCATTTTTAACAAACTCCTACTCTACAAATATCGGGATTCAAACGTGGCCACGTTTCGTTCTTTAAGAGCAGATTATGGTGCACATGAGCGTCCAATTACTCATAACTTTATGAAATTTCAAAGAAATTTGAACATTCTGGATCGGTTACAGATGTTGTAAGGCCTGTGCATCATAATGAAATATCGCTACCATAAGTGAAAGTATAGACGACGACCCGAATGTGTCTATTTCTCGACGTTCTCAAGAGTTGGGACTTACACCTACATCCACATATAAAGTCCAGCTCACACAATAACTGAAGTCAGCTGACCATTCACTCGAGAGATATATAAATAAGCCAAATTTCGCTCTTGGACTCCTGGAAACCTAAATTAATTGAAGAGACCCCATTACAACCAAAAAAATTTACTGTCTTGTGCGTTTATTGGTCCTGATGGGACCGTACTTCTTTCTTCATTGAAAAGGACTCGGCCACGGTCAATTGATCACCGAGATCGTGCGATTTGACACTGGTGTATGTACTTTTTTTGTGAGGTTACGCGAAAAATCGTGTTTATGCGGATAAACCTTTAATTCTTGAGCACTTGAAAACCAACATTCGTCCCGCTATGCCTGAGACACTGCCCAAAACTACCGAAAACGGAAAGAAGATTTGCAAAAATTCACGAGGTGATCATTTGAATATCATAGTGTTTTCTATATAATGCCAAGCTTCAAAAAAAAAACTTTATAAAAAAAGAAATTGATTTCATGAGACAAATTATTTTAAAAGCATTTTATTAAAGATTATTTTCGAAACCGCAAAATTGCTAATCCTATACATCCAACCTCACATGCAGTTGCATGCTTACATATTTACAAGTATCCCACTATTGTTTGTATTTGTGAGTGTTGAATTGTTTATTGTTGATTTTGACAAATGTTCACGTTTGCTGCCAAGCTACGAGAGCACGAGTATGAATGCATAGTGATGATAATTAGAAACAATTTTTGTTTTTATAGAGTTGGTAATTATAAGTAGTTCACTAACGCCGTGAACATAATGAATTCACACAATTTTCATGGTAAACAGAGCGAAAGACAGCTTTATTTATTTATTATTTTCCTCTTATTGTATGTGTTCTTTTCTTCTTTTGGCTTTGCCATGTGCATCATGTACATATGCACATACATACACGTACATATATAGATGATTGGAAATACAATTTTTCCAAGATTTTTTTGTTAATCGTTCTTTTTACCTTTAATATTTTTTAAAATTTTATTTTAATTTTATTTTTTTCTTTTTTTGGATTTTATTTTGTATTTAATTCTTTTTCACTCAACAGTTCTCTATAAAAGTGTCCAATAAACGATTTGCTTTCAAAGCAGAAATTCGAAATTTACCGCCGTTTGGTCGTAATTAATATATGTACATATGTATGAGCATTTTCAGCGGTGCTGGTGCCGTCCACTTTGTGGTTTGAACGGCTTAAAAACTACTCTACAGATAATTTATAATGCATTTTTTTTACTTCTGTTCCTCCGATGGACCTATAGATGTATTTAACGTTACCGAAAATCGACATACATATTTCAATTTTGATTTGAAAATTTTTTCTGGGTCTGTCATATGTACATTCCCACCAAATTTTACTCCTTCCTATTTTAATTTTTATTTTTCTTTTTTTTTTGGTTTAAACAATTATGAATATCAATTAATAAACAGTAATACTCTATAAACATATAACTAAAAACTCTTTTCAATTGTGTACGTGTATGTTAAGAAGACAGAAACAAAAATTCAACAATGAAATTAAAGCCTTGCCGCCATTAAGTGGTCATATCATATTTGATTTTAATTAAAGCGTAGAGTGAACGCGGTAGACATACATACACATACACATGTACATATGTGTGTAGTATGTTAATGAATATAAAAAGAATTAATAACAATAATAATAATAAACAAAAACAACATAGATGAATGCTCAAACGACTCCGAATGTTCTAATTATAAAAACAAATTGTATTTAGTAACAAAGCGAAGCTGAAAGTGTGCAGAGTTTTATTGCACAATTGAAACTTGCACAAGCGAAACTTAAATAAAAAATAAGAATAATTTAAAAAAAGGAAACTATCAACTAAAAGAAAGTTAGAAAATTTCAACAAAACAACGGTAATGCGCAATCCAACACAATTTAATACTCTTCAACAAAATCAAGTACAAATTCAAAAACAACAACAGCCAATAAGTGAAACAAACGCCGCAACAAATATTCGCCATCAACACTTTAACAACATTGTTGCGCAATTAACGCGCAACATTGCATTATTTTACACTGGCCAAAAACAACAACATCATCCTTCAAGTGGAAGCAAGCAAGTGCTATCGCAGCGTTGCTGATACTTAAGCACAACCGTTAGCTGCATAAGCCGAGCACATAAACCACTCCAACTTCCGCCCGCATGTTACAACTTCACTTCTATTCCAATCATGCCGGTCGTCTGGAAATCGGTGGCGGTTCTAAGTCGACGGATTTATGGTGGGCCCAGCAATATTATCCACTCGATAGTATAAAGGAGTTTGAAACGGTTTCTGAGAAATGGAAAAAATGTTTGGGGCAATTACTTAAAACAGGTGGGACTGTGTGTTTAAATGTCAACTATAAGAAACCAATTAAAAATAAATTAAATTAATATATTCAAACAAATAAAACTAAAATTAAATGACACATAATTTAGGAAATATTAAATTTAATAAAGCTAATTAAAATTAAAAAAAATAAACTAACGACAAACTAAATTAAATAATATAAAATAAAAGATTAATTAAAAAATGAAATAATATAAAACAAAATAAAACTTAATTAAATTAAATTAAGTAATATCAGTAATTCAAAACTATATTAAATTATATTTAATTAAATAACTAGAATAAAATAACATTAAATTAAAGTAATATTAAATTAATTTAATTATCGGCAACTAAAATAAACGAAACTTTTTTAATATAGTAAAGTAAAATAAAAAAATTAAATAATATAAAGCAAATTAAAAATTTAATAAATAAATAATAATAAATAAAATAAAATTAAATAATATAAAACAAATTAAAAATTTAATAAAATTAAACTTAGTGGAACTAGATGTAAAATAATGTTATACAATAATTAAAATGAAACAAATAATATAAAATTAAACAAATAAAATAAAAAAATAAAATGAAACAAAATAAAAAATATAATAAAGAAAATAAAATAAAATATAATATAATTTTATATAATATAATATAATATAATATAATAAAATAAAATAAAATTAAATTAAATTAAATTAAATTAAATTAGATTTAATTAAATTAAATTAAATTAAATTAAATTAAATTAAATTAAATTGAATTAAATTAAATTAAATTAAATTAAATTAAATTATATTAAATCAAATTAAATTAAATTAACTTAAATTAAATTAAATTTAATTTAATTTAATTTAATTTAATTTAATTTAATTTAATTAAATTAAATTAAATTAAATTAAATTAAATTAAATTAAATTAAATTAAATTAAATAAAATAAAATAAAATAAAATAAAATAAAATAAAATAAAATAAAATAAAATAAAATAAAATAAAATAAAATGAAATGAAATGAAATGAAATGAAATGAAATGAAATGAAATGAAATAAATTAAAACAAAGCAAAACAAAATAAATCAAACCAAACAGAATAAAATAAATTAAAACAAGATAAAAAATAAATATAAAAAACAGAGCAAAATAAAATATTTTGAAACAAAATATAATAGAAGATTCAAAAATAAAATTATAATAATAAAAATGAAATTATTTGAAACAAAAAAATTAATATGTTTAATTCAAATAAATAAAAATGAAAATGAAAATAAAATTAAAAATAAATATAAAATATAGTTATAAAATAAATAAAATAAAATAAAAATATATATATTAAATATTAAATAAAAAGGAAAAGGAAAAGGTGAAAACATGCAAAACAAACAACCAAACACAAAATAAAATAAAATTAAATTATATGAAATGAATGAATTATTAAAATAAAAAAAACCATTTATATAAAATTAAATTAAAATACACAAAAAGAACAAGCAAATGTTTTTTTTTTACAAATTGCCACCTGAGCCTCGAATTTTTTCTCACATAATTTTCAAGTATCATTGAATTCAGTTACCAATAATGTGGCGATGATATTTAATATTTCTTTATCCAAGCTTGAAAATCGAATATTAAGAAGAATAAACAGATTAAAATGTAGTTAAGTATTTTTTTTATTGTATTATTGTTTTTTAAATTAGCAATATAAATTATGTTATACATATTTTCTTATAAAATTGATTATTTATTGTATTATTTATGGTTTTTATAAATACTCAACTCACACTTTTCTCTCCCTATTTTCTGATTCTTACAGAAGAAGACGACTCACAAATTTTCGTGAAATTCTTCCGGTTCCATAAGTGCTACGATCTAATACCAACCTCTGCAAAATTGGTGGTATTCGATACACAATTGTTGGTGAAGAAAGCTTTCTATGCGCTTGTCTATAACGGTGTACGTGCGGCACCACTTTGGGATTCACAAAAACAACAATTCGTTGGCATGTTAACTATAACTGATTTTATAAAAATTCTACAAATGTATTATAAGTCACCAAATGCATCGATGGAACAATTGGAGGAGCACAAGTTGGACACATGGCGAAGTAAGCATCAATGGATTTCAGTTTACTGATTTTTTTTTTTAATTTATATTGTTCATTATTATCTCTATTTTGCCTTTAAGGTGTGTTACACAATCAGGTTATGCCATTGGTTAGCATCAGTCCGGATGCTTCACTCTATGATGCCATTAAAATTCTCATACACAATCGTATTCATCGATTACCAGTCATTGATCCAGCGACGGGCAATGTTTTGTATATATTAACACATAAACGCATACTGAGGTTCCTTTTCTTATATGTAAGTAGATGCTGCTGAGTAGGCATTGCTGATGACTGGAATTTTTTTTTAAATTAGTATTTTGAATTTGACATTTGATCCCTCTTGCTTGCAGATTAATGAATTACCAAAGCCCTCGTATATGCAAAAGACCTTGCGTGATTTAAGGATCGGCACATACGACAACATTGAGACTGCAGATGAGAACACAAGCATTATTATGGCGTTGAAGAAATTTGTCGAGCGACGAGTATCTGCGTTGCCGTTGGTAGACTCTGAAGGACGGCTTGTTGATATTTACGCGAAATTTGATGTAATTGTAAGTATTAATATGCATACATATATAAGTTAAACGAAAAGACTTTAGATTACTACAAGGCATATTAGCTGTGTTCGTTTTAGGGTAGTTGTAACGATGTCTTAGACTGATCTTACCTGCTACTAAGTGGGCCTTGCGAACCGAACAACAACAACAACAACCTTGGCTCGATTATTGCTAACTAAAACTCTATTGAAAGCTTATGTGAAACTAGTTGAGATGTAGGTTATAGCCCGTTCTAGCCGTTTCTCAAACATTTTTTTAACCCTTATCAAAATAGATCTGATAATCTGGAGTGGTTTTCACTCAGCATCCACGTCATCGGCGAAAATTCGCTCCAGCAGTTGCATAGCTCTTCGGATAGATACAAATGTGTGTCCAATCCGAGTTATATTTCTTATGAATGATATAAAAGGCACTTTTCCTATTTTTAGATGAACCTACAGCTTTGTACCCTTTTCTAGCCACTCGAATTGATTTGTTTGGGCAGCTCGAATTTCATTCCGAAATGCTGTCAACCTCATGTATGACTCTTTCTAAAGAGTCTGGGCTAAAGTGCCAGGAGACGATGGCTTACCGCCTGAGTTATTTAAACATGAGGATCTAGAACTAACAAAAAGCATACATCAGCTTCTTTGCAAAATATGGTCGGACGAAAGCATGCCCGACGATTGGAGCTGACCCTTGCGGGTCAGGGGACCAACGTCTCTATCTCGGGAGCAGCATTAACATCGATTATATAATGTCAACCATGGAATCCAACGCAGAATATCTCTTGCCAACGGATACTACTACTGCTACTTTGGACTAAGTAGGCAATTGAAAAGTAGTGTCCTCTCTCGATGAACGAAGACCAAACTCCTCAAGTCTCTCATGTTGTTGTTGTTGTTGTTGTTGTTGGTTTTTGTAGTTGTAACCGTAAAAATATTGGCCAGTTGAAATTCCGGTTCGATCTGGTATATAGACCCGACTGTCGCGGGAACTATTGGATTTTAGCCACCAGTTACGACATGCGTGCCTTACCGCAAATAAATTCTTGACCCCTAACCCGCAGTGGGTTCAAGTCCCTCAGCGTTCACGTACTTGGAGACTTCGAGAGAAAAGTTTTGCGAATAATTTATGGTGCTTTGCGCATTAGCTACAGCGAATACAGCAGAGCTTTGAAAGAATTCGATGAAGGAAGGGGAATACCACTGGAAGGATCAGGCGAAGAGCGGCCTGGTTTAACTTGGTATTTCCTACTTGCGCCAAACAACGAAGAGAAGAACCAAATAGCGCGAGCGGTGCTCATACCACTGAAGAAAAAGAAAATACTTCTCTGGGCACGCTCGGAGCCAAGACCTTCTGCTTATTTAGCACAGTCAGACAACCAGATTCTTAGTTAGTTAATTCAAACGTAAAAAATAGCTTTGAAACCTCAGCTCGGTAGAATAAATATCAGCTATTATGCCACCTAACCTCAAATAAATGCTTTGATATTAGTTTCATGCTACTTATACATACATTAATTTCCGTTTCCTCCATTTCAGAATTTGGCCGCAGAAAAGACCTACAACGATTTAGATGTCTCACTACGCAAAGCCAATGAACATCGCAACGAATGGTTCGAAGGTGTACACAATTGTCGTTTAGACGAAACACTCTACACAATTATGGAGCGCATTGTGCGCGCCGAAGTGCATCGTCTCGTCGTCGTCGATGAGAATCAGAAAGTGATTGGTATTATCTCATTATCCGATATACTGTTGTACCTGGTTTTACGCCCAAGCGGCGAAGGTTTAGGCAACGCTGACAATTCACTACGCGCATCAGATCCCATACTGAAGCGTAAGTCGTCCGATGATGAAGATGCTGATACAAAATCATCGGGTAGTCGTAGTATTATTGAAGATATACCCGAAGAAGAGCCAGCAGCTGTGGTGACAACTACAGTGCTGCCACCAACGGGTGAAGAATCAGCTATTATTGTGACGAATAGTGACAAATTTAAACGTGAATTATGTGAGGAAGTTGATGCTTCCACACAACAACAAAAGCAGAATGGTGATAGTAATGCCGCCGAAGTGTCCTTTGCCGCCGAGGCGGAAGAAGATCCTGTAGAAGAGGATGCCGAGCCGTTAAGTGATAATGATGATGATGTCGTAACTGGGCAATATGTGGACCTAAAGAAAACGCTTGGTGCGACAACGGACGATGATACAGAATTGGAGACAGCAGCGTCGGCAGCATCAGCGTTGGGTGGTGGTGTGCCAACAAGGACGGCACATGAAATGGCACTTGTTAGTGAATAAATTTACAATACATATACACATATAAATATATATATATATATATATATAGTTATATATTTCAACATATAAACATATATATATACATACATACACACATACATATAGTTTGCGTTTTTTATTTTTTAGTCAAACGAAAATTTTTTAACTTTGATTGTTGTTACTATAAATGCTTCGAAACCTTAAGCAAACAAATAAAACTAAAAATATATAAACGAATTAACATTCAATTTGAATGTAGAGGTTTGCATGTAAATCAATCTTGTGCAATTAACGGCAACACGACGACGCTGAAGTCACTGAAGTCGCTGAGTCGCTAAAGCTCACGAGCACTGAAGGTGCACAGACTTCATTAAGGAGCAATGTAAGGAACAAACAAGTACAGTTATCAAGCTTTTGATTTTAAAAGGGCTTTACAAACTCTTATATTTTAATAAAAGATTATTTTTTTTTTTTGTATTTAAGTAGAAATTATTGGAAAATAGCGAAGCAACAAAAAATTCTTAAAAATTGCTTGTAAAATAAAAGTCATTAAAGAAATCATGTCGTAAGTTGTAGGCAAAGTATGAAACAGTACATGCTATAAACTAATAGTAACTATGTATGTTAATGGGACAGGAAGGCTGGATAAGAGAAATTTGTGGATAATGATGTAAATGTGTAAAATTTGTAACTAACAAGCTTCCCATATTATAAACACCATAAACATATAGATTTCATAACACATAACATAAATATGTATGCACGCTTTTGTGGCAGAGTAAATAAACCATAAAAAGAAATATTTTATTTATGTAAAGATATAATTAATTAAAAACGAATTAGCTTACAACCATACACAAACAGAAGCATAAAAAGCTAATAAACTCAAATAATTGTAAAAAAAACGAAGAAAAAAGAGGTTTTAATTGCAAACAAATACGGAAACAAAGAGACCATACCAACTAAAAGCAGTCGCTTTTCCATATACATACAAACAAATAACCAAACAGAAAAAGTATAGTTTTAGAGTGGAGTAGGTGGAGCATATGAAGTAAAATGTTTGGCGCTATACGTATATGCATACATAACTTACTATCATATGTACATATGTACATTTGTATGTGTATGTTTCTAATATAAAGTAAAATAAAAAATAATAATAATAATAGAGGGAAATATATAAATGTAAAAAAAAACAAAATAACAAAATGGTTCTTTTTATAAACTTAAAATATTACTTTTAAATTATTATTTAAATTTTAATTATTATTATTATTATTACCTACATATTATGTACTTCTAATTCGATTATGGTTACTCTCATTATTATAATATTATAACTATTAACTAATATTATTATGATTATCGCTGTAATAGTTAAAAAAAAGAAAGTTTTAAAACCTTGAATTAATGCTGTATTCAAGCAAAAATACTATTAATAATAATAATGATATACATACATACAAACACATAACACAAACAAACATGTTTTTAGTAATACGAAAAAAAAAATACAAACATATTGATTAGAAGGAAATGTATGTAGTACACAATCGTGCATAGAACCAAAAACGAAAAGAAACAAATAAATGCCTTTATTTTCTTTGCAAACACTTTTGGCAGTCAATCCGCTTGTTATTGTATTTGTAATACATACACATATGTACATATACATATATTTTTTTAACGACAGAAAAGTCCAATCTTCGAGCTGATGGGATGATCGTACACAAAACGTCGTTTGTAATCGGCCTATGTTTCCCTGAGCCAAGTACAGAAAGCCACAATAACTTTATTCATTAAAAAAAATTCATTAAATTAACCAAAGAAAATAGTGAAAGCTTAAAGCGTGTCGTCAACGAACTGTGCGCAGAGGATCGACACATACCATCTTTTTGTCGATGTTAAAGCTAGCTGCCTTCGACAGCACGTAAAGGCGCTGCCTCTATGCGACTCGGTAGCAAAGGAAGCTTCAGACAAAATGATTTTTTATCGTTTGAATTCTTCAACCTAATACTGGGGAAAATAATAAGAGTGGATAAGGAACCGAGGCGAAAGTCGCTCTGTTTGTATGCAAATTAGTCCTCAGTATTTGAGATATTTCAGCCAAATTTGGTAGCAGATGTATTTTGAACTCTGCTAGTAACTAGTAGATCCGGGGATATGTTACTGTGGCTTTCTGTATTTTGTTCAATTTTTATTCGAATTTATGTTGTAAAGAAGGGTAAAAGAAACCCCTAAGTTAAAATATTAAATTTTTTATTAAATTATGGTAATGACTACTTATTTCCAGGAAGCAGAGTATGGCGGCCGCAGTAACCGAGTAGTTATCATTGCGTACTAATATTCGGAAGGCTTGGTTTCGAATCCCTGTGCGACCAATATCCAAAAGTTATAGAAAATTATTTTAAATAATAAATTATGATAAATTTTCTAATCGCGGCCACCCCTCTGAGTGTATTTCGGACATGAAATAATGGCTCCTCGTATAAAAACCATTAGCCGTTCGGAGGCGGCTTAGTATGAACTGTAGGTTTCTCCATTTGTTGGAAAAACATCAAGACGCAAAACCAAAAATAGGCCGAAAATCGCTTCAGCGGTTATTATACAATATATATATATAGAGTATTCCATTTAGGCATTCAATAAAAAATCTAGCTAAACGAATAATGAAAATATATACTTTTTCAAGTAGATCGATAGACTCTTGCAGTATTCTTGTAATCTAAGCAAAAATCCACCCTTTTACCCAATTTCAACAAGTCAATCGAACAATAAATATCCCAGGTATACTAGCCGAAAGAATGTTTTCTTAAAAACCCTGCAGGAAACGGGCTTTTTCGGCTGGGAAGAACGGTTAGATGAGTTGGTTTTAGGGGTAATGCAAAGAGGTAGTTAGTGTCGTGCGGGAACTCGTTACATACAGGACATACATTAGGTGTATCGGGATCGAGTCTGGATGAGTAGTAGTATAACCTGCTACAATAACCACACCTGAGTTGGGCCAGTATTACGTTTAACTTTAAAGGCAGCTCGAACTCTTCGTCTACAATGAGTGATGCTTTGATTTCGAGAACGTCGTTCACTGGAAGAGAGTTAGAGAAATTGTTAACGGACTCTCGGTGAATGGCGTTTAAAGCCTCTCGGTAAGACTTCCTGTCCAGTGGTTCTTTTACGAGATGCTGAATGCAGTCCTGGTAGTACAGTATTCCCTTCCTGATGCCCCCAGTTGGTGGCTCGTATTACAGAAAATGCTCCTTCGGTAGCCAGCCAACATTATTCTCCTTAACTCGTAGCATAGACGTTTCGTTATGCATCACTAGCGCTATTTTTAAGGGGCAAGATTCTAATACCCTCAAATGCGATCAAGTAATTTGGTCTAGCAGCATGTATTACAGGTAGGCCAAACGACGACAACGAGACATATAATCCTCAGATATCGTCTTCAAACATTAGGTTCACTATCTTTACGACTGCCGGCTTTCAGCAGGCTGAGGCTCCAGATATGATATGAGCCAGCATGGGTGGGATGTAAATAACAGAATGACCTTACGCAAAGGCAGAAGGGCAAGAGCTTAACATCCTCCTTTCAACTAACCTTATATCACCAAGTATTCTCGTTTCGACTAGTTTATACAAATCACTAATAAAATGGGTCTAAATAAATTCTAGGACCAGAAAACTGGGATGGCAGCACCTTCTACAAAATTAAATAATCGTTTGCCGTAGTCACCCTGTGTAGCACACGTTTTTCGATATAAAACAAATCAAAACAAACCCACCGGGTTAGAGACTTCCCAATAAAGGAATCTGGTTCTTCAAACAAAAAAAGAACTATATAAAGAATAGTAATGAACTCATTTGAAATTAAAGAAATTCCGGGCAAAGTGCGTACAATGTTAATACATCATTTTCTTGCTATGAAGTTATATTGTTTGCTCTGCAGGGTCGTGCCATGGTCGCGACAAAACCTTTTGCTGTTGGAGAGACCATTTTTGAAGAGGAACCCTTCGTTTCGCGACAATTTTCTTGGAACGCTGCCTATGGTTATGCAGCATGTGATCATTGCATGCGTCCGTTGGAGACAGTTTTGGAGAATGTTCGTCGCTTAGCAAATAACAATGCGTTGATAGTACCTCTAGCGGAATATGATCCAACCACACCTTGGCTCGAACAGTTTACTCAATGCCAACGCTGTAAAGTGCGCTACTGTTCTGAGGATTGCCGTATGGAATCATTAAATAAATATCATCGTGTCGCTTGCATGGGTAACTTTCATACAGATGATTCACATCCCATTAATGCATTAAATGAAACGTGGAAGTAGGGGAACACACAATTTGCATTTAACGTATGTATTTAAGCATCTAAAAAAATAACCTTATGTTTCCAGAAAAATGCATTATCCGCCGGAAACTGGTACAATTTTACTAATTGTTCGTTTAATGGCCATGTATAAACAAAGCAATAACAAACAACAGTTTCTCGAATCACTTCAATCTTTTCAATCCTTGATAGTAAATACCGAAGCGAAAATATATCACAAAATGTTAGGAGAAAATTTCGAACAACAAATGGAACAGCTCTTTGTTGCTTTTTGCAGAGCATTTGCGGATGAAGAATTCGCAGCTGTAAGTTTTATCTTCAAATACCCACGACTGTTAAAACTTTACAAACCCTTACTTCTAGTTCACTACACCAGACGCGTTTAAGACATTGATGGGTATGATTGGTACAAATAGTCAAGGCATTGCAACGAGTCCCTTAGCGGAATGGGTTAAAAAAGTGAGTGATTTGCCGCTACCAGACGGCGACAAAGCAAAGCTAGACGAATACATCGATGATATTTACAATAAAGTAGGAGAATGTAAGTACTAAAAATAATTCTTAAGAAAAAGGAAATTTTATAATAAAATTTTCTGTAGTCGCTGGTGAATTTCTTAACACTGAAGGTGTTGGCCTTTACTTATTACAAAGCAAAATTAACCACAGTTGTGTACCCAATGCACAATCGACATTCCCCTACTCAAATGATATCGTGGTCCTCAAGGCTGTGGCTGCAATAGAGGCGGGTGAAGAAATTTGCATATCCTACTTGGACGAGTGCCAGTTGGAACGTAGTCGGCATTCTAGACAAAAAGTGAGTACATTTAAAACATTTTAGAAATCCACAAACATTTAAAAACTTTCAATTCTTATTTACAGATTCTTAAAGAAAACTACATTTTTGTATGTCAGTGTCCTAAATGCCAATTACAAGTTACTGACCCTGATGAAACTAGCGAAGATGAAGACTACGATGACGATGACGAAATGGATATGGACGATGAAGATGCAAATATGTCAGATTAATAAATTGTTAGATTCTTAACACTTTTATGCATTTCCTATGTATGCATGTATATATATTATTATAGGCATTATTGTAACAATAAAAGTGTTCATATATACATTTTGTTCTGAATGTACTAAAAGATTATTAGAACCAAGTTAAAGAGAAAAAAGCTGCTAAGCACTAGACACGGGTGTTAAATTTATAAGATTATTACTGCTTTCCGCCAGCTCTGCTATTGAAACACGTCCTCGTTGTCTTATAAACTTTGCTACTTCTAATAATTCTTCCTGAGAAACATAAATAAATTTACCACGATCGTCAATTACACCTGTTATCGTGCCGTTCGCTTGTAAATCTTGGATACGATCAATGACTTGCTGTGTTTTTAGTTTAAATTCCATTGCTAAGTCCTCTAGTACAACAACTTTGTTGTCTTTTATGTACTGTATAAAATCTTGTAACAATTGTTCTTTTTCTGCATCTTCGGCTTCTTCAAAGCCTTCCTCTTCAATTTGGAATGCTTCTTTTAATTTCAAATACTCTTCGTGCTCTTTACGCTCACGTTCTTCACGCGCCAAACGTTCAGCTTCTGCAGCTTTGCGCTCTGCCTCCTCCTCACGTTCTTCTTGCTGTTTTCGTTCTGCTTCCAATTTGGCCTCCTTCACTTTGCGCTCCTCACGGATTTTCAGCTCCTGTTCCCGTTGCACTCGTTTCTGTTCCTTGGCTTCCATTTTGGCACGCTTTTTGGCACCCATTTTTTCATCCAATACTGCACCGGATGGAGTTTCTTCATCTTCTCCATCGTCATCATTAGCTTCCATGGCATTGTCTAAAGCAGCTGCTTGATCTGCAGCAGCTGCTGCAACGGCATTTTGTCGAAGGCGATTACGTTGATTTCGCGCAATCTGTGCACGTCTAGGCACTCCCTCTTGCGCTCGTACTGGGACTCCTCGCTGCACTGGTCTGTCTACTTTATCTGCAAAGCAAGTTATGAGTTTTACACAGCTCAAAGCTTTGTTTCGGCACACAGCTTACCAGGTGTAGAAGATTTTCTTTGGAAAATCAAGAGCCCAATTATTATTGCCAACAATGCTGTGGCAATCCCAATCAATATATTTAAATCCATAATAAAATTATTGGTATTGTTAAAAATTATATGCAAGAAAATTTTGCCCACACAGCAGTTGTATTATTTGTTATTGTTATTGGCTTTTGATACGAAAATATGAAAACGTCAACACGTCAACAATATAAAATGATGTTGAGGCAAACGAGCTACATGACTGCCATGCCTACTCTTTATTATTAGAATATTTTGATATCTTTGACCCAATTCCTTTAGTTAAACAATCTTAAAAAATCACCATAGCACATATATAAAACATGTTTCCGTATCACAATCAATTTGCAGTACGATTCAGTAATCATACAGTTAATGCCTAACTACTGCAAAATAAAAATTAATAAATTTTACATCTGACACACCCTACTAACCAACTTGATTCTGAAATCGAACGGAACTAATTGAAAAAAGCAAATAATTTGTGTCAGATTTTTCTACAATTGGCATACGTGTCGGAACTTAATAAACTTATTTGGAAAAATATCCACTTATTGCCTATTAAACTTGAGTTTTATAAACACTAAATTATGAGTAAAAGTTTAATTGCGGCAGTGGTGCTATTTTGTGTGCTACAAACCACATTTGGCCTTTATTTCCACATTTCCGAAACGGAGCGAAAATGCTTTATCGAGGAGGTTCCCGACGAAACAACAGTCATTGGTGAGAAGTCCTAATAATCAACTCTTCTAAATTGTTTGGTGTTTGACTAATCTCTTATTTATATATTTCCAACAGTTAACTACAAGGTGGAATTGTACGATCCTCGTTCTAATGGATTTATGCCCTCATCACCCGGTATTGGCATGCATGTGGAAGTTCGCGACAGTGATGATAAAGTTATATTATCACGCGTATACAGTTCCGAAGGTCGCATTTCCTTTACCTCACATATACCTGGTGAACACGTAATTTGCATGTATTCAAACAGCACAGCTTGGTTTAGTGGTGCACAACTGCGCGTACATCTAGATATACAAGTGGGCGAGCACGCCATCGATTACGCGAATGTGGCACAAAAAGAGAAATTAACTGAATTACAACTGCGCATACGTCAATTACTCGATCAAGTAGATCAAATTACTAAGGAGCAGAACTACCAACGTTATCGGGAGGAACGTTTCCGTCACACAAGCGAAAGTACAAACTCGCGTGTTTTGTGGTGGTCGTTAGCGCAAACCTTCGTGCTGGTCTGTATGGGCTTTTGGCAAATGAGACACTTAAAGAGTTTCTTCGAGGCGAAAAAATTAGTGTAAAAGTATGCAACAACTGTAGGTAGATGGATGCACTCGTTCAATGGTGAATAAATATTTCTATTACCAGAACCTTAATAATTATTTAAAGTAACATTTTGTCGTTTCCACCATCTAGCTACGAAAGTAGAAAATTTTCTATAGTCGACTTTAACCAAATTCATCTCTTATATTTCATTGTTCTCTCTCAAATACTTATAAATTAAATATTTTATGAAAGCGAAAGACATTGTTTAAATATACTCCGAAATGATTTAAATTAAATTACTTCATTACATAGAAAATTAATCAAAGTAATTAACTAACAATGAATACCACTTATTTCAGTCTCATAATTTTTAGTCTTAAAAATAAAAGTAAAAATATTGTATACGATTGTGATGTAACATTTTATTGCAAGTGTATGTGCAACACGTCGGTGAGTAAAGTACGCTGACTGTGGGCTCAGCATCAGTAGTAAGTGAACCATTTTACTGATTACATGAGAAAAATTTATTTACAAGACAAAATTATCTCCAAACCGCGTGACTTGTTATCATAGTGTATACATATACTATGTACCTATATAAATATAAATATGTCTATATAAATATATATATATTTTAATTGCTTTTATATTGTAATGAAAGAATGCTGCAACGCTTTGGCAGTGCAAATGGCACAAGTAAATATATTATTGCCAGTCATAATAAACTTTTAAGCCTACCTTCCACGAAATGAAAAAAATTTCTGATTGAAACAAAAAAGTAAAAAAAGTCATTACACTTTTTTTTTATCAGTTTGAACATGTAAACAATAAATGCAATGAGTTTTGAGGTATTAAAAGGTATCATTCTGAGCTAAACAAATACAAAAATATATTATATGTGGCAGATAAGAATATAGAAGTATATACATATGCATATATATATATGTCTGTGAAAATTCATTTTGGATTTGTGTTCTTCTAGTTTAGCTCAAAGAAGATCTTACAACTATTGATAATAGTGAAAAACACTAACAGAGAATTAAAGAGAATTAGTCTGTTACACTTGAATAACGAGGTAAGGTGGCCTGTTTTAACTGTTAAAAGTATTAAACTGTAGACAACAAAGTCAAGTTTAATTCGGTTTTTTTAGACCCACACATACACACGTTCTATGCATGCATGCGTATTTATTGCTGTAACCTACCGATAATGCCGACATCTCGTCTGAGAAGCTACAGCATCAATTCATTATGATGAGCAATTACCGTCTGCCACTGGAGCAAGAGCTAAGAGTCAGTCAGTGATTAAACGCGTTCGTGGGCGGTTGGAAAACATTTATTGTAGTTGGTTTGAATGAAATAACGAAAAACGAAAAAAACCTAAGCAATAACTTTGACTTTTGAAGGGCAAAAACTTTAAAAAGAAAGAATTACCTTAAAGAAATTAAAACGCTTTTAACTGAATTATTAATATTAACAAAACTAATTGAAAAATATGTTATAACTTGAAGTGGAAAATATATCAGTGGAATATAAACATAGTTATATGGCCCTTATGTACATATTTATATACATACGCATTTATGCATGAGTATCTTGTGTCCACAAAGTAATGCATTTAACAGGAAAACTATGAAAATCTGCGTGCAAAGAAACATACATACATATGTACATATAATATATATGAAAAGTTTTGATTGATTTAAAATATTACATACTCGTATGTACATACATATGTGTATAACATAGTTTGTGCAAAACAAAATCATTGCTGTATTTGATTAAACATCACCGCAACCACAATCGCCCACCACAACAACCAGTTTTGGTGAACAACAACAACAACAACCATCACTACATTTAAAGGCCAAGCAATCAGTAAGGCTCTCAAATTCCATCGTAATCAGCATTGTATGTATGTACATATGGTTTATGTAAAAATGTATATTTGTACATGAGCCGTACTTACATTCACAATTCAAATAAAACAAATTTACCTGTGTAGAAACCCATTTACAGTACAAACAGGCGAAGGTGAAAGGCTGAAAAAAAATATGTTTCGCGCTTCGCAGATCGCCAGCGAAGAGAGTAAGTGAACTTCATTTAATAACCGTTAAGCTTAATATACTATAAGTTATGTGAAAATATCACATTATGTGGAGTTATGCATACATATTGAAAGTTATCACCATGAATTGCTGTTGAAACTAAAAGAATTCAGTTAAATAATTTGGCTATAGTGATTAACATGCGGCGGGCATGAATCTGGCCAGCCTAATATTTAAAATTACAGAAATATGTAACTTTTTCTAAGTGATGTTACGCCTCGGTAGATAATATAAAGCTCTAAACCCTTGCGACATGATAAAAAAAAGCTCCTCAGCCGTTTCCGAGTTGGTTGGAAAACTATCTTTTGATTTTTAAGGATGGCGACCGAACATCGCTTAAGCTATAACTGGCAATTATAATTAACATAATTAATAATTAACCATATTTAAGGTGAAATAAATAAAAACTTATCTCAATACACATATGTGTACGAAATATTGTAGTTGCATACATATGTTTGTGATCTAAATAAAATTTTTTATTTGTTTTACACTGATAAGATGCTCATATTCTGAAGTCTGTGTCTGTGGGCATACATACATACATATACATGAATGTCTATGTCTAAATATCAAAAATGATGATGCTGTAGAGTTCATATAAAGCTGCGGTAGAAGTTATTTTATTATATATATATATATTATTTTATTATTAAAGTATTTTAAATATTAAAGTATAAAAAATGACGACACTATTCATAATAATGATTGTGAAATAAAAAATATTTAATTATTAAATTACCCCACCTGAGGCATTAATAAGCACGCTTATATATAATTAATTAAATATTTTTATTTCACAATCATTATTATGAATAGTGTCGTCATTTTTTATACTTTAATATTTAAAATAAGTTCAATTGGCGAATTTCCGTCTTTGGAAACAAGAAACCATAACCTTAAAAAATGTATAAAACTTTGGTGCAAGCAAAGAGTTAATACCGAAGCCTGGACTCTATTCCAATTATGAAATGTAAATAAACAAGTAATAAAGGGTGATTTTTTAGCAATTATCTTTAGGGCAACAATGGCTTAAACAGCTGACGCAAGTTTCGTGTTTTGTATCACTGTCAGACATCTTCAGTTTGATCTATAAATGAATCTCGTACTACAAACGAACAACGCTTGAAGTTTATTGCATTTAATTATCAAAATGCGTGCTCTGTTAAGGAAATACAAAAAAAAACTGCGCAGAATTGTCGATATTGGAGTGAAGATCAGCCATAAGATATTTCAAGAGCTGCCAATGCATCCAGAAAAAGTCAAGGTCAAGTCAAGGTGCGGTTAATGTGCTGGTCGTTGGGCCGACAACATTGGAGGACAACATTGAAGCATTTATTCGTGAGATACCCGTCGAAATGTTGGAAAGAGTATGCCAAAATTGGACTGAGCGGATGGACCATTTGAGGTGCAGTCACGGTCAATATTTGCACGAAATAATTTTGAAACATTAAATTATATGGACCGTACCAGCAATTCAAATAAATATTTAATGCATTTGTGTTTTGTTTTGAAAAACTTTCCTATAGATCTTTAAAAAACACCCTTTATAAGGTTAACCTAAAGTTTGACTTTAATAAATAAATATTTAATTGGACAATTTTGCCATAGCATAATTAGTAATATTTTTTATTATGAATCTATGAAAGTGCATATAAACAAAAACATGCATACCTACATACGTGTATGTATAAGGGCATAAATATTTATACATGTACACATATTTGTATATTAGGGTGTGCAGGAATCTACTTTAACATTTGTATTTTCCCATTTCATTTCAATTTTTATGTTCTTAAATTTTCAACTTCAAATATTTTCACTTTCCGAATTGTTATAGTTTTCGTTTTCAAACAAACAAGAACTGAAATAAATTTTATTAAAAAATAAAAGTTTATCCTTATTTAAATAAATATATATAGAATTTTCAATAAGATGCATGCAAAATTTTTTTTTTGGAATTCTACGATTACATTTACAATTTCAATTTTCTGTATAATCTGAGACCATTGGGTGTTACACAAAATGCATTCCTGAATTCTTTTGAAAAAACGTCGTTTAATAATGCTTTGAGAGAAATTTTATGTTGAAGATGTTGACTCATTAGAATCCATCCGCTGTTCAGAGGCGACTAGGAATTAATTGCAGATCCCTCCATTTGTTTATAATTTATATATATTTATAATTTATAATTTTCTTAGTTAATTTTTATTATTTTTATTAAGAATTTATTTTTAAAATGTTTATAATTAATGAAAACTATTAAATTTGAAATAACTTATTGTTTTTGTTAAATTTTAAAATTTAAAGTTTAATAGTTAAAGAAAAATTAATGGTTTTTTATAAATAATTTTACTTTTAAAAAATTAAACGGAGAAAGATAATTAATTAACGGTTATTTACCTGTACAGGAGGGATACACTAAAATTTTTTACTTAATAAAATAATAATTTTTTTAAAAACTAAAACTAGATATTATTATTATTATTATTATTATTATTATTATTATTATTATTATTATTATTATTATTATTATTATTATTATTATTACTATTATTATTATTATTATTATTATTATTATTATTAGTTTACTAATTAAAGTTTATTTGAATTAATTTTTTTTTTTTAAGTTTTATGTTAATTATATATTATATATATATATTTTAGTATCTCCTTTCCGCACAGGTAAACAACCCCTAATTAATTAATTTTTCATTTAATTTTTAATAACTAAAATTAATTTAATTATTGAACTATAAATTTTAAAATTTAACAAAACAATTAAGTAATATCAAATCTAATAACATTTTTGTTGACTAATCTATCAAATATAAATACATACAATAAGTTTTATTGCTTACGCGAAGAGTGCAAATCCTTGCATAACTTTGGGCGCTGGCTAATTGCTTCCTGTGATTTGAGTACTTGCATTGTGGCATATATGCATGAATGCAATTCTCAAACGATCAGCGATGTGATATGGCTAATTTGCTCATTCTTTGCAATGGTATTTACCTTCATAAGGTCCACTTCAGATATCTGATCTATTTGTGTCTTCCCATCAATGCTGAGCAAACGATTGGCATTGGGAAACTACCTTTTTTTACAACGAGCCTAGTGCTCAACCTGAATACATTCAACATTCCTTTCCACCCGCTTAGACAAATACTCGTATTGTATATTAGTTTTTGTTCCACCCTAATATGCTATTTGTTTTTGCACAGCGGAAAAAAGATAAGCTGTAGAAATCAATTTATCTGATAATGCAACTGGTCCATTTGTCCAACAAATTGTTGCTTCTTCTTTTCACCTATTGTCGCCAATTTAAAACATAAAGTGAAGCATTCTCCTTCTTCTTCTCTTATTTCAATAGTTTGGTGGTCCTTCTATGCCTCTTCTTTCACCACGGAACTTGGTCAGCGTAATCGCTGAAATATGCCAATTTAGCAGTTTAACTCGTCCATTCCGTTCCATCGTCTGCGAACCTTGTCAATGAGCAAAAGACCATAAATTTTAGAAAAAAAAATCTTTCACTTGAAAGCTCCTAATGTCGAGTCATCGGATGTTGTCACCGTCCACATTTGTGAGCCTTATAGTAGAACGGAAATATGGGCGGTAGAATTTGTTTTTGTTCGTCGAGCGAAGATTTGACTGTGCAAATTCCTACTGAGTGCAAAGAAGCACTTGTAAATAAGAGCGAAGATTCTGCGCTGAATTATAAGGTTGACGTTATTATTGGTGCTGATACTGGTTCTTAAATAGACGAAAGAAATTTTGTACAATCTCAAAATTGTGACTGGTGCAAGCCCCTGCCAGATCCATTGGCTTTGCTATTTGTTCGGCCTGGAGTTCACTATTCAGTTCAGCAGCTCTTATTAATGAATTTGGGAAGAGCAAATTGGGGCAGGTCTTGATATTTTCAACCCAAATTCCTTGAAACTAATCCAATTTCTATTAGATCTCTTTTATTGGTCTACACATTTGATTCGATTTTTTTTCTTTAAACAAGTGTTTTATTTTATTGAAAAAAAGTAAAAAATAAATACATTAGTAAAAATATTACCCATCGAAAGCGACTACTTTTTCCCATCTCTCTGGTCATTTCTGGCCCTAAAGCTTATCCTAAGTCGCCTCCGAACGGCTGATGGTTTTTTTACGAGGAGCTTTATTTAATGCCATAAATACACTCGGGGCAATTAGAAAATTGGCCAATTTTTTTCAATTTGGAATTTTCATTAAATTAATCTTCAATAACTTTTGGATTTTGGTCGTACCACGATTTGAACGCGGGACCTCCGAGTGGCAGTACGCAATGCTAACCACTCAGCTACTGCAGCCGCTATTTGTTGTAAAAACATCAAGGCGCAGTTACAAAGCGTCAATTATATAACTCTAAAAAATAACCACTCTCTGCCCTTGGTCCAATCATTGAGCCACATTCTTCGATTTTTTAAAAAGACCCGAACCGGCGAACTCCAAAATTGTTTTGCAGCCGTCGAATGAGCATGGTCTGGAGAACACGGTGGGTAAAGTATTGACTATAACTAAGGCGTTTGAGGCTCACTGTGGACTTTTCACATCAATGGTACGTTGAACCTGTCTGTCTGGCCCCACTAGGACGTTCTTTGTTTTCATATTTAAATAATTACAAGCATTCAATTTGGCTCCAGCTGAACTTTTCTTACAAATAAAATAGAAATTTAGAACTTTCCGCAAATTCTGTTTATTTAACACAAATCGGGATATTTTATAAGAGGCAAAAAAATATTGTTGAAACCTGTCCAATGCAATAACTTATCACTTCCAAGATCGGCCACGAAGGGCAGATGAAGAATGAAGCGAAATCATTTGTAACCCTAATATTTTTGAATTTTTTCTGTGCTTTACAGTTTAAATCAAAAGCTTTCATTTAAACTGCATATATCTGCTTACCGCATACTGACCTCAGAAGGGCTAAATCTTAAAAAACCTTAATTTTGAACAAAAGTTTGGCGTTGTCAAACTGTTTTTTTTTGTGCTAATGTAAAACAAAATTTTGAACTAAATGAACCATTTCGCCGTTCATGTTAAGATTTGAACTGTTATTCCAACATATTTAATTCGAAAGTCTCACTTTTTGTATTGAAAAATACTATATTAACTTCTCTTAACGAGTAATTTAGCCAAATTTTAGTTGGAATTTGTTTTCTATGGCTGAAATAAATAAAATCTAGACGCCTTAAAAACTCTTGTTCTTCATTACACAATGAATTCCGTAGGTCATGCTGATGGCGATTCCATGGCGGTTTGGTAGGCGAAAGTTAATCGTTGAGCTTATTATTATTGTACAAATATTTTACCAAAAGTATCATAATTCAAGTCTTAATGTCAAACTCCATAATCTTTTGATTTACATTCTTTCATTTTTCATTTATTTACAAAATAAAACGTGCGCCATGTCGTATGAGCAACTTTTACTCAAAAGCGCGAGATAATGCAAAATAAAGTTAAAATTAAATCCAAGAAGAAACGATCTGTGGTCTAAGTCCCCTTTAGATTAGTATTTAATGGATTGAAGTACATGAAAATTATCCTTGCCTTGCTATTTTCCAGGTTTTTGCAATTTACTCGATATAGAACTGATTAAAAATTCTGACTCAGAAGGTCGGATGACGTCTGGTGTACAAAACACTTTGATTTTTCATTTTCGACAAAGCTCTTGCTCCTATTTGTGATATACATCTTGCCATATCTCGAAAAAATGGAGGGATCTATAGTTTATTCTAAGGCGCCTGCGAAAGACTAATGGATTTTTAAGAGAAGCTTTTATTTCATGTCAGAAATACAAACGGAGGGCTTGATATTTCCTGCCGAGGGCTGGAACTCTGTCTTTCAGAATACTCGGCTATTGCGAACGCAGCGACTGTAGCAACTTTTTATGAAATAAATAAAAAAGAAGAGCTTTTTTATATCTTCCCATATCAAATTTATGATATTTAAATTTTTCTAGAATTAAATATTAATTCTCAGATTTGAAAAAATTCATTGGAGGGGGTTATTTAATAAAGTTTTCAGATTTCGATGTTTTACCTTACAAATATATATTTATTTACATATAAAAATCCATGTGCTCTAATTAAATATATTACCAGTTTCACGCGCTTAGCAGCTTCTTTGACGAGTTTTTCACCCAAAATCTCAATACTGAAAATCGGGTCGTAGTTATGTTATATTGGTCCGATCGAACCGTATCTGGTGTGTACCAAGGTTGGTTGAAATATCTTAAAAACTGACGAAGTAGTTTCCGTGCAGACAGAGGGACAGTCCGATAGACGGTCATTTAGTCACTTAGATCACATCGTTATAATTATGGGTCCATCTCTTCTCCTTCTGTTAATTACCTACTTCAAACCAAAGTTTATACACCATTTACTGTACATGAAAGTCACTTATGCTTCCAAACCATTGCAGTATCTTCTAAGGCGATATATTTGCTACAAAAAAGCAACAGAGCTTCAACTGTGTACTGGCTTTCAAAGGAAGGTAGCACAGATTTATGTGGATAGCCAAGCGGCCATAAAGTCATTCATTTTATGTAGCAGGAAGTCGGTTGAGATCGAACTATGGAAAAATGCGATAAAAAATACTGTCGGAAAAAAGAAGAGTTCACATTTGTTGTTCGCTAAGTGACACGGTTTTTTTTATCGACAAACGTTGAAGGCCGTGAGATAGCAGACGTACTAGCTATGGAGGGTGTTCTTTTCGAACAGAATGTAATAATAAATCCAGCAGTTTCATTAAGGAGAGTGAGGCATACGCAAAAGGTAATCTTACTTGGTGAGGCGAATAGCCTTTGGGAACGAGCTAAGCGCTGTAGAAATGCATAAGGTATGATGCTAAACTTACAGGACTTTTACCAGCGGTGAAGAGACCAGATTATTGGCTGCTGGTGGGACAGTTAACGGGGCATAAGCTTTTGGTATCGCATGCTTTCAATACAGATCTGTGAGTGTCCAGCATTCTGCAGTCAAAGGCTATGCATACTTGGCGCAAAAAGGCTAAACGGCCTTCAATCGGCAGTGCACAAGGGACCAAAGCGACTTCTTCAATTTTTTTTTATTTCGTCGGAATAAATTTGGGTGCATAAAAATTTGAGAACTTTTTCAGAAAAGAAATGGTAAATATTTCTAAATAAGCTTGCCTTTCAGGGTTTTTTGTTCCCTAGAACAAAATCGGTGGTCAAAGGAACCCATTTTGAGTCGGCCCCCCAGGTGGCCGTGACGAGGGTACTCGCGAACATCCCAGTTGAGGCGTTCCAGAAATGTTACGAAGCATGGAAATCGCGCTGGAATCCTTTTACAGCTGCCCAAGAGGACTACTTTGAAGGAGTTGGCAGAGTTGTAGAATAATTTTGAAATAAACGGTTTTTATGGAATCAGTCTCATTACTTAATTGTCACACCTCGTTGTTTCCCAAAAAGGTACAAGAACGGTGTCACATCGCGGCTAGGAAATCTCGCTCGCAATAAAACCTTATTTGGTCGCATTGTGTGACCCGTAGCATCATCCGAGTTATGTACTACAACTGCGGGTCAAAGAAAGTCGTTCAACATACGACCATAACACATTGAATCGACAGTGACTGTGACTTGCTGTTGTCGTTTTCAAAAAAGTAAGGTTCAATCATATCTCCGGATCAAAGAGCGCTCCAGTAAGCCTTTTTCTTTTGAATTATATAATGATTTTCGGAGCAGCAAATTCGATAATTTTGCGTATTTACGTATGCCCCAAGTGATAAATATGACTCGCCGCTAAAGAAAATTTTGTTCACCTCCACTCAATAAAGCCCCAATGTAAAACAGGAACGGTCGACCAACACCATCTCCTTATTTTACACATTGAGTTTAACAACGAATTTCCTTAAAAGCCAGATCGCTTAATGAATACATTCCAAGGTATTTTTAGACATCTACGTCCTCCTTAGCTTAGGGGGGTGAGCTTACACAGAGAGAACTAAAATTATCAAATTTATTTCTATGGAATCCTTCAGAAAAAATCCAGTTTAATAATAAAACACTTATTCTTTCAGCGCTTCCTGCACTTTTTGATGCAACAACAACGGCAGACATAAGGGAAAGTGGAGATGACACTACGCCATGCACTACCGGTACACATCTTAGAAAATATGAGCGAAGATTATCACTAAAATATGGGTTAACAACAACATTACCGCCGATTAAGTATAAGTACCCCCTCGCCGTTCTCTTTGTGCTATTAACGAAGTTCTTCGAAGCATTCGCCGCTAATGGTATTAGAAGTGAGTATGAAATGGCGTGCAAATTCATAAAAATGAGCACACATACACGCACATATAAGCATTTACATTATTTATTTCTTATTAGATTTCAAATATTTTCGCGCATTTATATTTATATGTTATATTATTTATAAATATATTTACGCATCAGAAATTTTTTCGTTTAGCTTTCTATCATTTTAGATTATTTTACTTATTATTTATGTGTGTGATTAAGTGCAAATATTTATAATTTGCATGAGAGTAACGATCAATTTGTGATTGATATTTAATGTGTAATCTCGTTTCACCAAAGGTTATCTGCATAAATACATAATAATTACTTTTTAACGAACTATTTGACCCGTCGAACTTTGCCTCGCCTGAATTCCATGCCTTTGGATCAACGACAGAGTGTTAGTTAAACATAGATAGTTCAAATTTTTTTGTGAACTAGATGCACCCTGCAACGTTTAGCTGTGGCACATACTCATTGAATGTACGAAATATTACACATTTTATATCTTTTCATTGTAATTTTATTTACTCAATACTTGTGGACATGATACAAAAATCAAGTTAGTTTCACTCAAAATCTTTTTCAAAAATATTAACCTTCTGCCATAAAAAGATTTTTTGACTTTTGCCTTATTTTTGTGCTGACAATTTCGTATTTAAAAAAATAAGTTTTAAACTTTCTAAAATAAAAAATAAATAATAATTCCAAAAAATTAAAATAAAAACAAATAAAACTCATAGCATTTTCTGAAATCTAATGGAAATAACATTATTTTGCGGCTTTGAATATTTTTTATAAAAAAAATAAATGAAATATTTTTAAGGTGGCAATATCTTGAAGTTAAAATTAAAATTAGATATACAGATCTATTCTCACTGTTACCGATAAAGTATTTTTATTTTTTTACTTTTTTTAACATCCGGAATTGAATTTGGTATTCTGGTAAAATGGTTTACAATTGGCTGCACCGCGTTTTTCGTCCTTATCAAATTACATTTGCCAGTTGGTAAAGTAAAAATGTGGAATGATCACATCGAAATAGAAAACGGAGCACAACAAAATAAATATGTTTCTTTTGTTTATGTTGTAAATCATAAATATTTGAACATAATTATGGAAAATATGACACGCAGACAAAAAAGCTGAATTAAAACACTGTCTTCCAAATTAAAAAAGGTAATTTTTTTTCTCGCAAACTTTTTAACAAACGTCTTTTTGTACCTTTTTCTTCATTTTCAATGAATTCCAGGCCTAAAATATGCCCACCCATTTTGGTATTTTTTTTTTCTCAAACTAACAACACAAAATCAAACAGCAGATTTTTTATTTCCTCTTATTTTACTGGTAACAAAATTTACAGGGTGACAGTGGATTCAGAATACGAAATAGTAACAAAGTTGAATGAAATTTTATTACCTCGATAGAATAGGCCTGATAATGTCGATTTTTTTTTAAATAAATGGGCTTTAGATCCGCATCATTTGAAAATTTTGCCAGATTTTATTCGTTCCGTTTAAATAATAATGTTTTTCCTTCTAAACGTCACTAGTATTAGGTGTAGTAAAAATAGATCCATATTTTTCCAATAGATGGCGTTATTTATCTGTACCTCGCGTTGTATAAGTCCGTTCGCTTTCCGCTAGATGGGAACACAATAAGCCCATTCCACAGCTTAGCTCCAGCCCCTCGCGGTCAGGTCTCCCTTTCAACCAATCATTGCACGAACTTGAGGTTGACGAAGATTTTGTCTTCTAATACTTGTAGAATGCACTAGTCAAGTAGGGAACCTACACTGAAAAACAAGTAAGTCGGAAAATCAAAGAAAAATAAAATTTTATCAAATGTCTGGTTGAAGACCAATCCGAATTGGTGCGAACCAGCGAAATCTTGAGTATTTGCATTGTAACTAACATCACTCTCTTTTTTCCGGAGTTGGTATTTTTTACAGCTGCTACTAGGTTTATACTCAGTTTTGCTTTGCCATTTCAAAATGAACAGATTTATTTAGGAAAAACGTTTTCAACGTTCAACTTTATTACCAAAGTAATGGTTCGGTTTGAGCGACACAGCATATGCTGAAGACGCTATTGTTGCTATGAAGACTCGAATAAGTCCATCCACCATCGCGCGCAATAATTGGAGCCCAACCACCATCAAACACGTCGCACATTCTATGCATGGGCCAAACACGAGATGGCCATCCATCCCAATTTTGCCAAGAAAAGCTCACTGTCGGATTGAAATTGTACGTTAATAAAAAAAATTGTCACATTTTTAGTGATGATAATCAACAAGCTATTATTGAGCCGCCATTACATCCTCAAGGAGTCACTGTTTTGTGTGCTCTATGGCCAGAGAGAATCAGTTGTCTATGTATATCACTTCAAAACCGAACCAGCCATAATGTTACAGTCAATGGAGAACGCTGTAGAACAATGAGTAATGCCTTTTTCGTGAAGGATGTTGACATGGCCAACATTTGGTTCCAATAAAATGTCGCTGTGTGCCATACAGCCAACTAAACAATGAATTCATTATTGGAAACTTTTGGTGAGTGTCTCATTTTGGGTCGTGTGCTTGTGGCGTGGCCTCCAAGATCGTGGGATTCAACACCGCTGTACTATTTTTGGTAAGGTTACATGAAGATGCTTGCCTACGAAATCGAATTTATTTCTGAATCGTTCGATTTACATGAAATTTCGTACATATGCATGAAGATCTTTGCCCAATTGAACATAGAAAGTACTTTTTGCTCCGGACTTAATTTACATAAAATTTGGTACAGAGGTAGTTTTGGGCTTTAGTTAGTAGGGGGATTAGTAGGGGGAAAATGTTTTCTTACGGCCGTCGATCTGAAAATGGAGCGATAGTTCAGGATTGCTTAATATATCTAACATACTTAGGTGGGCTCTTTGCCATGGTTAATATGGAGATATTTTCTTTCTGGAAGTAGAATTGGGAGCAACTATGCGGGAAAATTGTATTTATGGTTCGATTTGCGTAATATCTGGAACATAGAAATCTCTTTAAATGTCCGAAAATTTTTATTCCCGGTCCGATCTATCTGAAAGAATCATATTTAAGGTTAGATTTGAGATTTGGACATAGAAAGGCCTTTATTTCTTCTTAATACATTTTAACATAATAGTTTATAAGTTATTAGTAAAATAAATAACGGAAAAATCTAATGAAAAGATTATTAGAACTTTCTTAAAATTCATTACAGACGAAGTCACGAACAAACTTTAGTTATAATCTAGTTTTTAACAAGCAGCGCGTCGCATTTTCCTATGCTACTTTGTATAATTTAATTCCATTATTCGTTTATTTATTGTGTTTTTTAAATATATATTTTTTATATTCATTACTTGTTATGCTGTTTTGTATGGATACAATATATACATATGTACATTTTTTTTGTATTTTCCAGCTATCCTTGTGCTATATTTACGAGATGACCTGTACTTCAGCGAGAACTTCGCAATGATTATGCTGCACATATTCAATTTCTTTGGTCAATTTTGTCCAATTTTTGGTGCCATTTTAGCAGATAGTTACCTCGGTAATGTGCGGACCATTTCATATTTCTGCATATTATACGCCACCGGCTGGATATTGCTGATAATGACGGTATTGCCCACCACAGGAATATCATTAATGTAAGTGTTAGAGGGGTGAATGGAACCTTTTCAACTTTTTTTTTTTGATGTTATTGTTGTGATTGAGACTACATATTTTGCTTTCAGCCTCTTAGTATCCGTCTCACTATTATTTATCGCCATAGGCAATGGATCCGTGCGAGCTTGTATAACTTCCCTGGGAGCGCAACAGTTCAAATTGCCAGAACAAGCAACTCGTTTGGCTGAATATTTTTCACTATATTATTTTGTATACTATTTAGGTATACTCCTGAGTAAAATTCTGCCACCATATGTGCGCGCTAAAACACAATGTTTGGGAAAAAGTGATTGTTACCCGGCGGTATTTGGCACGTTGGGATTGTCATTCGCATTTTCGTGGTGTAAGTATGTTAAATACAAACATATTTATAGGCACATTAGTGCAAACATACTTAGAGGCATTTTAATTGCAAAATTGATTTTATTTTTGTTGTAGCGCTCTCTTTATATGTGCATTAATATAATATTATATTTAGTTGAAGTCTGCAGAGTTTTTAATTTAGTTTTTAATAATTTTTCTTTTGTAAAATGCCAGTTTTTTTTATGAGATTTAGCTACAGGAAGATATTTTGATATAGAGTTTTTAGTGGCTTACAAAGTTGTGTTTCTAACTTAGACGATTCTTAAAGTCGCCTTCGATATGTTACATTTGACACATTCCATACTAGTCTCCGGGAGAGCGTCCATAGGTCACGTAGCTCAGCCAAAAGGAGTTAGTGGTGAGTGTAAATGCTACACTAGAGAATAGATTGTACTTAATAAGTAATTTATTAACTGTTAGTAATTATAGTATATCGAAAAACTTTTATTAATTCAAAGGGTGTTTATTTAGAAATTTAGAGGAAAGAAAATGCATATAATTTAATGTTATGAATAAAATAATAACCATTATGTTTTAAATATAATTTCGATGATGAGTGACGGGCGCAGCTTGCATGATTAATTTCCAGTCGAGAGACCCAATTTTTAAGCACTCACTTTTTGCAGCAATTGGGACCGATGGCCTAAATAACAAGCTGAACATTATCTTCCAAGCCGTCAATCAAAAAAAAAAAAATAATAATAATAATTCAGCGATGTTAAATCGCACAATTTCGGAGTCGACGGGCCCACGTTGCAAAGTAATGCGCTAACGAAAAAGATTCCTTTAATAAATTGATTAAATATTGATTGTATATACGAGGTGTGTTCGAAAAATATCGCGAATTTTATGTTTTTTCAAAAATTATTTATTTATTCATGAATATCTATTTTGCACTCTTCAAAGTAATCCCCATGAGATATTATACACTTGTGCCAACGGTTTTTCCAATCTTCGAAGCACTTCAAATAATCATTTGTTTTTATCTTGTTCAGCTTCACCTTCGATGCCGTCTTGATCTCGTCAATCGTAGAGTAACGTCGTCCTTTCATGGACCTCTTCAGTTTAGGGAACATGAAAAAGTCATAGGGAGCCAGATCTGGGGAATACGGTGGCTGCGGCATCATTAGTGTGTTGTTTTTGGCCAAAAAGTCGCGCATAAGCAACAGTGTGTGAGCAGGAGCGTTATCGTGGTGCAAAAGCCAATTTTTGTTCTTCCACAAATCCGGGCGTTTCTGGTGGAATGCTTCGCGCAAATTGCGCATAACTTGCAGGTAATATTCCTTATTGACCATTCTACCCTGTGCCAATGCCATTTTCTCTATTTCATTAACTTTTTCGTTTGTTGCTGAAGTGCTCGGGCGTCCGGCACGCTCTTCGTCGTTCACATATTCTCGGCCCTCTGAGAACATATTGTACCACCGATAAAAGTTGCTTCGGTCCAAGGTAGCTTCTCCGTATGCCACAGTCAACATTCGTTTTTCACACAAAATTTGATACAGATTCTTAGATCCATCCTTTTTTTTGAATAGGTAAAAATCGAAGACCATCCAAAACACGTGCAAGCAAAGCAGCTGTCAACAATTAAGTGAACATTCAAAATGTCCGAGCTTGTCGGCATAAGTGACAGACAAGAGTACCAACATAACGCCACAAAAAGAATCGAAATTCGATTATACGTAACCCGCGAAAATTCAAAATTCGCGTTACTTTTTGAACACACCTCGTAAATTTAAATAATAATAATAATAAATTTAATAAATAATTATTTATTTAGCTGCATGAGATGTGGCACCGTCTTGTTGGAAACAAGCAAAGGTCGTCCACATCAACATTCTTCAATTAAGACAACTTCGTGTTTGCAGAAATATGTACTAGTGTTTCCCTCTGCCCATAGAACACCCCACACAGTGACTTTTTGAGGATGCAACAGCGTCTAAACTAAGCCTTATGGAATCCAATGTGAAAATTTATATTTACGAACGTACCCATACAACCAAAAGTTAGCTTCAACGCTGAACAAATTTTATTTTTATGATAATCAGAACTGGTAGACATCTTGTTTTACATTCATTCAACGAACATTCGCGACGTTTAATGGTCATGCGGCTTCAATTTTTGATCGTATTAGATTTTGTAAGCCCGCAAACCAAGATCCATTCGTGAAATCGTCCATAAAGTGCATATCCACAGCTCCGGCGCCTCTGAAGATGCGCATTATCATCTCTATTCAGCTCTATTACCGACTCTACTGGGCAATTATGTCGACCGAATATTGCACATTATGAAATGGCAAACCAAACTTAGTATAAATCAAGAAGCAGCTGTTAAAGAGACAAGCTTGCGTACATGTCTGGTAGGCTCTGTTTATGTTGTAGAACAGAAAATTGTGTAAGGAACCACTGTTAACCGGGTAGGGATGGAATGGAAGTCCCGGAATTCCTAAAATAGAAACAAAAAATTATACAAAATCACTGAAAAAATATTTCCTAATTGTGGTTGCAACTCTGTGCGTATTTATGACACGAAATAAAAATTAATTGCGCGTTCAGAGGCTATTAAATAAACACGTACAGTATACACCTTTGTCCGTAATTACTTATACGCACTGTTGCACCACCTTAGACAACTCATTTAAATCGTCAAATTTTTTTAATTTTTAAACAAAAATAGCACCCAATTTGATCAGCCCTCAATACATCTTGATGTGCATGTCACTTGTCGGTATCAAAACTCTAGATACTCAGATCACTCAAGCAGTTTGGGCTGCTCAATAGTCTCTGATTTGATTGATTGATTTCACATGATTTTTCGTGAGACTCATTAACGATCTGAAAAAATTATTATCTCAAAGGTTAAAGTAAACAATATTTCGGCAAAATGAGTTTAGCTCGGACTTTTGCATTATATTAGTTGCAGGACAGCTGAGCGGCTTCAACTGTAGTTGCACAGTGGTTCGCATTACGTATTAACTTTCAGATGGGCAGATTTTGAGTGCGGGTCCGCCCAACATCTGAGATTATAGAAAATTAATTTTATTAATTGGGACTGCTAGGCAGAGAAAGTTTCTAAAATGTAGGGACCTACCATTTGCTGGAAAAAAAAACATTAAGACACACACCAGAAATCGGCCGAAAATCGCTTCAGCGGATACCAAGCGTCAATTATACATGTTATGTACATATATATATATATTACAGTTGAGATGATTAATAAAAAGCGTAATTGCTAAAATGTTTTAGGAGTTTTTAAATTTTTCAATTTTTAAGGTTTATTGACCTTTACTCTGATAAATGAGTAACTGTAGCAAAGAGAGTTGCATAGAGATCGATTTTAGATTTCAAAAATTTTTAAGTAAGAAATGTTTAATGAAAATTATCTATTAATATACATACATATGTACATTTACAGCAGATTATGGAAGTGTTTAAAATGTGCCATAAGTGCCGAATTCCATGAAAGTCTCTCTCCTTTTTGTTTTAAGATCTCGATTCCATATCTTTCGTTAAAACCTGTATGCCATTCATGGCTGGATTTAAAATTACCTCCATACAATTTGGTGCGAATTCTTTGTCTTATGCTGTAACGCAGCCACGCTTACAATGGAATATCACAATGCCGCTGCCTCAAAAGCCATTTCAGGAATTTCATCTGTAAATCCAGTAGTTTTTAACGCATCCCTCACAATCCGAGCGGTGTGAAAGGGTGTGTTCTCTTGAAGAAAAAGCACTACACGTGCCAACTTGCCATCTCATCTTCTGTATGACTGCCTCACGTGCCTGATTCAAACAACTTAGCGTGATACTGGCCGTTCATTGTGGTTCCCTTTGGCAAGTAATTAATTGATAAAGGGGAGGGAACTTTTACGCTTTGAATTTTTTTTGGCGACATTTCACTTTTTTCCATTGCCTCGACTACTAGTTAGATTTCATGTACTGTTACAAAGCGATTGCAAATTTCATCCAAACCAACTTGGCACCACTCTTCAATCGTCGAGCGGCGTGAGAACTCGCGGTACCCAAATGTTCATGCAAATTCTTTGCAGCTCATTCTTTACTAGACTGTAATCCTTCTGGTATCTGCCACATTTTTATTCATCCATCGGCCAATATGAATTTTTCGGTATTTTCAACATTTTCTTCGATCGCGACCGTCACTGGGCGCCCCGTACGAGCGTGGTGCATCTTCACAGGTATCTCTTTCTTGTTGAAACAGCCGAGCCGATTTTTTCACCATTATATATATATATATTTATATATTTATATGAATCCTGGTACAACTAAAATCTAAAAGTTATAAAAAATTTATTCAAATAAAAAATTAAATTAAATTTTCTAATAGCGGTCGCCTCTCGGCAGGCAATAAGGCTCCTCATAAAAACCAACCAATCAGCGGTTCGGAGACGGTTCAGTATAAACTGTAGTTCGCTCAAAAAAATAAACCACAAATTGGAGGAGGAGCTCGGCCGAGAAGGGCTTCGGCCGTTAAAAAGTGCTAATTATAAAATTTCATGACTTGAGCATGTTAAAAAACTTCTCCTTATATGTATATAGTAACGCGCAAATTTCTACTAGTACGAGAATATCATAGATATGTATTATATAATTTTTCAAACTTTTGAGAAATTAACCTTTTTTTTGTTTGATTCAAATATATTGGATGAGCTGGATGCCGTTCGAATCGTTTGAGAGTGGCGCTCGTGAAAGAAACATATACATATTTTATATCGTTGGAAAGGTGACAGTCCGAACTGTAGATCAAGCATAAAATAACTTCATTTTGAATTGAGATGCTTAGTGAAAAGACGCATAGAAGATGGACAACGAAAAAGATCATATGCGTCATATTATGTTATACGAATTCCGCAAAGGAAAAGCAGTAGGCGCTGCAACTAAAGATATTCGCGAAGTTAATTTGGACCGTGCTCCACTCCGCACAGTAAAGAAATGGTTCGCGAAATTTCGTTCTGGAGATTTTAACCTCGAAGATCAACCTCGCAGTGGACGGCGTTCTGAGCTTGATGATGATGTTCTAAGGACTTTAGTTGCGAATAACTCACGTATTTCGACGGAAGAGGTTGCCGGTGAATTAAACGTCAACAAATCAACTGCGTTTCGTCGATGCGCTCGATACATGGGTGCCACATCAGTTGAGTGAAAAAAACAAAGTGGACCGTATGTCGACGGATCAAAAACGAACCTTTTTTGGATCGGCTCGTGACTGGTGATGAAAAATGGATCCTGTTCAACAATGTTCAACGCAAAAGAACATGGAAATAGGCACACGAAGGGGCGGAACCGATTTTGAAAGGTGGATTGCATCCGATGAAGGTACTGCTGTGCATTTGGTGGGATATCTGAGGCGTGATCTATTTTGAGCTCTTGCCAGCTGGAGAAACGATCACTGCCAACAAGAATTATCATTTGTTTCGATCGCTGCAGAACAATTTGAATGGAAAAAAATTTAAAAATGTGGAAGACGTCAAAAACCCCATTTCTTTTTCAACGAGAAACCGCGCGATTTCTATGAATCAGGCATCCGTAAATTGGTTGAACGTTGGGAGTGGATTGTCGAACATGAGGGCGAATACATAATTGATTAATAAAAGCGCTTTCTTCAAAAAATTTCAATTTTAGTTTGCACTTGAAATCGGGCGCGAACTTATGCACTCATCCAATACAAATGTTGCATATGTATATGTACTACACGTATGTTAGTAAAATGCCGAAAATAAAACAAATGAAAAGGTTGCTCATACGCCCAGGCTGCGATAAATCTGAACCTTTTGTAGTTCCACAACACAAGTATAATTAACAAATAAATTTATTTTATGCATTATATATCTTGGTTTACAGTGATTTTTGCGATTGGTAAATTTTTTTACAAACCTGAAAAACTATCAGAGGAGAACATACTAATTAAATTGTATGGTTGCATAAAACACGCTTTGGTTGTGAAATGGAATAGCACGAACACGGGAGAACAACGAAGATCTGTATATTGGCTGCACTATGCAGTCGGTAAATATGATGAGGCTTTCGTCAATGATGTTAGCAAAGTATTAAAGGTAGAAAAAAAAAATAGCTTCAAGTCTTTTTGTATCAAATTCGACTAAATTTTTATTTCACAATAGATTTGCAAACTCTTCCTACCACTGCCAGTATATTTTGCATTATTAGCACAACAAGATTCTAGTTGGACATTTCAGGCATCAATGATGAACATGACCGTGGCCAATGGAATAACTATACAACCAGATCAGGTAGCAGCATAATATTTATGTTTAAGTACAGTTATTCCATTGGTATAAGAATTTATTATCTATTAATCTACAAATAGGCAAAGGCCATGGGACCGATTTTACTCTTCATTCTCATACCTTTATGGCAATACATTTGCATGCCGCTTATACGTCGTTTATTTGGCAGCGAGGTCAAGCCATTACATAGCGTTACCGCTGGTGGAGTATGCTCGGCATTGGCGTTTGTTTGTGCTGGTTTACTGCAAGAATATATCAATGTAAGTGTGTATGTATACATATATGTGAATATTAAGACATAAACGAGTTTTTACGGAAAATGGAGTTATTAAATTTTTAAATTTTTATACAATTATTTTTTATTACAGAGTCAACCTTATCGCTCTGTGAATATAGTTTGGCAAGTGCCACAGTTTCTGTTGCTAATGATGGGCGAGTTATTATTATCCATACCAGGCTTGAAGTTTGCATTTACACAGGTAAGGGTGTAGCATTTCATTAATTGAAAACTATATTAATTTTCTCATATTTAAAAGGCGCCTACTTCAATGAAATCAGTTGTCACAGCAACGTGGTTCATTAACAATGCATTTGGTAATCTCATTGTGGTTTTACTAACGAAAGTGAATATATTCATTTCACAGGTAAATTGACTATGAAAATATACTATATATACATACATATTTACATTGTGTATAATTTTTATTTTTCTTTAGACCAACGAGTATTTTTTCTATGCGGTCTTAATGCTTATTTCCATAATAGTATTTGCCATGTTAGCCTACGACTACGTTTTACAACAGACTGAAGATATTATATCTAACAATAATTTATTATTACAACCGCTTGATGTAGCACAAAATGATGATGAGCCAAATACCAGCACTGCAAGTGCCAGCAGTAGAAGAACCAGTGTATAGCAGTAAAAAAATATATATAAATAAACTAATCTTATATACGTTATAATAAAATGTCCTAATTTATTGATTTGTACAAAGTTATATAAAATATGTATATGAAATGTAAATGTTTTCTAATCTAGAATTTTAAAGATATATTGCAATTCCAAAACTGTGTCATCAGGCAAATCAGTACAATGAACGGCATTTAATGTTTTACTAACTCCAAACTTGGCACGTAAAGTATGTGGACGCAACATTTTTGCGATTTCCTGCAAGCGGAAATGATTTAGATACATTTATACAAAATTAGATATAATATGCATACCGGATCCATTGGCCCACAGAACTTCCTAAATTCTTCATAACTGTTTTTATTTTCATCTGCTGCAATGATTTCCAACGCCATACTAACACCGCTGGCCAGTTGTGCCACCATTGGCTGTGGTAAAAAAAAAAAAACCTTTACGGTTTCAATATATGTATGTAGATATTTTAATTACACTTACAATGTATTCGGGCAGTATACCGCGATATACTTCGAAGAATTCTTCACAGTTTACACGTTCCATTAAGTTCATGCGCAGGCCTGTTATTTTGAAACCATTACTTGTTATCTCTGATATTATTCGACCTAAATTTCCTATATAGAATAACATTGCAAATATCATTATCATGCACACATGAGTATGTTTTATTCCAAATTAACAAACCATCTTTAATGCAGTGCGGCTTAATGATTCCTAATGTTGAGTTTTTCAAACGCAGTGTGGCTTGCAATCCATTTTTAGGGTTGAAAAAGAAATTAAGATCCTGCGGTCATAAAAGTCAAATGTAAATGAAAAATGAGAAATTGTTACTACTTCCTGGGACTTACATACCTGGTCTGCTTCCGCTTCATCATGTGGGCAGTAAATACCAATACGAATATCTTCTCTTTCGAATAATGTTATTAAAGCAGCAACCGTATTGTCACTAACAATATCTTTGTTTTGTTCTTTGCATAATTTAATTTTTTGCACTGCATTATCAGCAATAACTTCGAAACCCATTGATGGGCCACCAATTAGTTGGTTCATTAGCATGCTCCTAATGCAGAAGAATAACAAAGTATTAATAATTTAATTCGGTCGTCTAGATTATCCAATTAACTTACGATGCTTCAACAATTCGTTTATTACTTAAAAAATCTTTCACTTGTTCGGGTGTAAACTGCACCATAAGCCCTCTATTTATACTAAAGTTGCTATCGATCAGAGCACAAAGCACGGTGCCTAAATGTTGAGTACAAATGTGCTTAAGCAGTATAAAAGTCCTATAAGCAAAATAAAGATACATAAATCAGCATACAAATATGTCAAAAATTATAATTACTTTTTGCGATATTTGTCGAGAGTGTTTTTCGTTATATCATCGGCATAATCAACAATATCGAATTGTCTTCCAAAAATGTTAATTTTCGAACCAATGAAAAAATCTCTCTCCGATAATTCAGGCATTTTAGTACGTCGTAGAAAAGTACGTTTATGTTGTTGATCGTACTATGTGAAAGGGGAAAATTAGTGAACTCATTTAAATAATCTAATACATAATGATTTTCTGCACTGGTTACGCACCACTTCGATAGCGTTACCCGTTGGATAAAAGCATATAGTAAAAGTTCGTATGATAGCCGCTTCCTCCTGGTACCATTCTGCTACAAATGACAAACGACGGTTGAAAGCCTATTATGAAGATCAAAACAAATTAAAGCTAAATACTTTTACCCAATATCAACTTACCATTTATAACCACTTCAGCGAGGTTAGTGTGAATAGTATTTTAAAGAGCTAGGAAATGCAATTAATTATTCCTTCAAAATTTGCTTCAAAATTGATGAAAATGAAATATTGAAATATTTGACTGCATTTGATTATGTATTTTTGATTTTGGTTTCCCGGCAACCAGGAAAACAAAGTAATTAATACAGAGGCCGCCAAATAGCTGTCAAAACACAACTATACTGTAACTAGTGCTATTCAAATTGTGAGCCAGTAAGTAACACTCAGTTCAGACTAATTGTCTCAATGGATCGAAAGATGCAGAGGGAAGTAGTTTTTGATGGTATTGTCACCGGTGGTTAGAAAGCCATTCATTATTAGAGTCTAAATCCAAATAACTACAGAAGCAAAGTAAAATCATACCTTAGGAAATTCTATCAGCATACCGTTTGTTTCGGTCAATACAAAACTCAAAATCGAATAAAACGCTAAATACTCGTACGCATATCTAACAATAAAAAAACAAGTTTTAATAACAACCAAGTCTTAGACTAAAATCTTTCAAGTGAAACTGAAATATTTTTAAACAATGACACTTGGTGCGAAAGTAAAATACAAAACTTTACCAAACATCAAAACGGAAATATTTGCTTAATATTGACATAAAATAAAAACACGTTGGTTAGGCGTAATATTTATTTCTCATCGAAGCGTTTGTTTTATTTCACAATTTAACATACATATGCTGTCATTACCGACACGGTTTTGCAGATTTCATAGAAAGGTAAATAAGTAAATGTATTTATAACTTGTTTGATTTGCAACGTGAACTATTTTTCTTTGGATATTTTAGTACTTTTCTTTAGAAACAGAAAAGGATTTCATTTCTGTTTAAAATAATAAATATTTAAATAGTTTTTAGTTAATTATAATCTTATTGCCGCTACTTCTTATGTGTTTGTTTATTTATTTAAATTTCTTTTGCTCCGAACTTCCTTCACCTATACCGCGAGCATTGCCCAATATACTCGTATTTATGTATAAAAGTTAAAATATGTAATTCTTTTCAATGTAAAAATGTTGAATTATTGGTTAGTAAATCGCATGCGATTTCCTTTATTTACAGGAAAAACAAACAATCATAATTAACGTTTCTTTGTGTGAATTTATGTACTAATTTAGTTTTATATGAATTGAATGACTAACTGTAGCTGTACGGTGTGGTGTACATTCTTCCGACTTATAAATTCTATGTTAGTAATCGCGTACCTTAGTTAAAGTTCACCTCAAACAAAGGAATAACTATGCTTTAGCATTATTTTTATACTAATTACGAAATGATGTTGAGTATAATTGAAATCTTTTTGTTTGTTTTCCTTTCTTCCATGTTTTTTTTTTTTGGAAAAGTAGTTTATTTATAATAGGGAATCTTAATTATAGTTTGGAGTTTCGTTTTGTGATCATCTCTTATTAAAGTTTTATATGTTCTGCACGACGTTTACTCAAATGTTTAACAAATTTATTAAACTATTTCTTCTCAGCCTCTGGTGCTGCCTTCTCGCCCTCAGCACTCTGCTTTTCTTCATCTGAAGAATCTTCGTCATTTTTGGATAAGCTGGGAATATCATCATCAGAATCGTCGTCTTCCAAGTCCATGTCACCGAATTTATCATTCCATGAGGAATTGAAGAGGTTATTGAAAGGAGCTGGTTGTTCTTCCTCTGAATAAAAAAAAACATTTAAATATTTAATTGCAACCAATAATTCAAAATCAATCTAAAGTATGTATTATGGTACACACCATCCTCGTCATCAGACTCATTTTTCCACTTGGCGAAATTGGCTTTCAAAAAGTGCAATTTGATTTTATCGTTTGTCAGACTAGGCCAGTAGGGACCTTTTTCTTTCTGTAATTTATAATAAAATATATGTATAATTTTTTGTCGTTTAATCAATCTACAATTGTTATGTATTTATGTGATAATAGTGTGAATTTTCGTTTACTGCAATTTATTAAGCACATAGTACAGTACCTTGTAAATTGTAAATTCCAAACATCTCCCAATGTTCTTACTCGTCACTTTTTCTGGATCCACAGGATTTAAGAAATTAAGGGTGACATCATATTTTTTGGTTGCGTCTAAAGCGTTTACACCTTTGAAAGTGAAAGTGTTTTCCGTCACTCTGTTAAAAACAAAATATCATACTTGAACATAAATTCAAATAATTAAACATACAAAATTAATTTAATTGTACTTACTTGTATTCAATGTTGGTACATTCAACGTCAATAATAACGTAAAGCAGATCATAACGCTGAGCCCAAGAAACTGGAGGATATACTGTGCTGTTGTATAAAGAAAATTTGCATAAAATAACTTAGCTCCTTTGTATACATCAAAGTAAAAGCATTAATTAGATTAGTTGCATTCAGATCTAAAAATTCTAAGCAAATACTGGTACACCTGTTCATGTGTCCAATTTCAAAATTAGGCACTTAACGAACATGTTTTAGCAAAGTTCACGTTTCAACAGAGTTTCACTAATGTCATCGCCGTGCACATGTAATAAATGTTAGGATTATATGAGTTATCTTTTAATCATATCATATCTACTTAAATTATTTATTAATAAACTTCAGCTCATTTTTCCAAATTCTTAATCATTTGTACATACCGGTTAGCAACCTAGTAACAGCTCATACATAAAACAATCTTCCCTAACCTTATTTTTTTCAAAAAAATTTATAGAAACCTTTTACCCAAATAATTTTTAAAATTTTTAAATTGAAAGCCGGATAAATTAAATCATTGCAATATCATGGTTGAAAAATATTTTAATTATAATTGCTGGACTACGTTTCCACGGCAGTTCGAGAAAATGCTTTTCAACATAACCTACAAATTGATTAGTGAATATGCGAAAAGCACAACGGTGGTTGGTCTGCTCTTTATCCGCCTGGTATTAATTCCGATGTGAAGACCTTTAAACTTAATATCTTTCAACCTTTTGACATTTGACCCAGATGCATATATCTCTGCGGAATTTATCAGACATTGAAAACAGTATCGAAGCCGAAGTCTACTTCAGCCGTACCGTATCTGCTTGTTTTTCTTTAAACAAACACACAAACATTAAGGGAATTTTGTTACTACGCCCGCCGCTTAGGCACACGCATTTTTCCAACTTACCCCGTTGTTTCCGACATATTTCCCAAACGTATTTTAAAAATCCTTTGTGTTCAACACAATTTTGTACAGAGATATATTTCAGCCTGCGTAAAAATGTACTGAATTATAAGAAAATATTCACGTTCAACTGTTCGCAACCGCATAAAAAGAAGAATAGAAGAAGAAAAATTGACTCGTTCTTCTTTGTGAGGTGCGATAATCGGCGATAATTATTGAACAAAGAATAACAGCAAGAAGTAGAAACACAGGGTTGTATCTGAACAAACAACTTCATTGTATTGGATATCTAATATTAGAATACACACAAAATTCGCTTGAAATTACATTATTTAAATTATAATTAATTACGCACTCAACATTATACATGGTTCGGCCTAGAAAAATTGATGGTTCCTATAACATTTGCAATAAAAATTAAAAAACATATCTGTGTATAACTTTCTAATGGCGTCATCTATATGTGAAATTTCATTACATAAATTTCCCTTTTGTCTGCAATCTGCTGTAGGATGAATTTTGACATTTCTACTTGGAAATTTTTCACAGATTTGCAGTTTTCTCGCATCTTTTATTACTCGTCGTCTTCTTCTCTAAAAAAAAATAGGTACTAAGGAGCACATAATTATTACTTAACCAATAAATCCAGTAGCTTTCAAATATAATTCTATTAAATACCTAAATTGATTTTAACTTTTGCAGAAAATGTTGCGTGTCGCTTCTGGACAAGTTGCCAACGTGCTGCGTGGTGCTATGGGCCTATCTGGTCGCATTGCCACAGTCGGCTCAGTGCGTGCTTCTCACGGTGAAGAAAATGAGGAAGTTTTCAACAAACGTTACGAAGAGTACTTCAATCGCAAAGATATCGATGGCTGGGAAATCCGTAAAGGCATGAATGATTTACTGGGCATGGATTTAGTGCCAGAACCCCAAATAATTGAAGCTGGACTACGTGCCTGCCGTCGGGTTAACGATATTGCTTTGGCAATTAGGTGGCTGGAAGGCTGCAAAGACAAGTGCGGTGACCAAAAAAGCACTATCTACCCATATCTGATCCAGAATATTCGTCCAACCTTGGACGAATTGGGCGTTCCAACTCCAGAAGAATTGAACTATGACAAACCTGAGTTGGCATTGAAATCGGTTTACGACATGTAAATTAGTTAAAAAAAATAGAATCATGCTTAAGTTGACTACGTTTAAGCCAAATTTAAAATAAAAATAAGATAAAATGTGCTGCGATGATTAACATGAAGTGGTTGATTACATACGTTCAATAAATGTGTTGGATAAAATAATTGTCTACATCGTGACAGTGGAGCTCTGTGTTTTTTTGTTATGCAATCAATATAGTCACCTACATTTGTATTATAGGATTTGACAGAGCACAATAAAAGTAACAGCTGTTGTTTTTAGGTTAGAACTAAAAGCAATTTAAATACAATATTATTATTATTACTTTTATTTGAATTCTTTATAAGGTTAATGCATTGTCTATGTAATATTTTTTAGCAAAATTTATTAATTATTTCTGCTCAACTTTTTCAACTGCACAACGAAAAGCAATGCAAGTTCTTTTGCTTTAAACCTCTTCCGAAAGGTAACGAACTTTTCATGGTAAATGCATCAGCAGTTCTTCCATTATAAATTCAAACAATATGAAGCAAAGTGTATTTTTTTATTTCTGGTCAAAGTTGATTTCAATATACCTTGATTTCTAATGGAAAGTGATTTACTTGAAATAAAAAAAAATATGTTATGCTACTTTAAGCTTTCAACGTCAGTCAAAAGTGAAATTATTATTGTTTGCGAGAAACTTAAAGATTTAATAAATCGATTCTAAACCTATAATGTGGCGGTACGTGGCTACTGGCTTTGCAAAGACAATACATCTTTCCCAATGGGTACCTACATTAATGTTAAGTCGTAATTGCATGCATGTGCATGAAGAGGAACCAGAACATATTTTTACGAAACGATTTGAAGATTTCTTCAATCGCTGTGAAATCGATGGTTGGGATTTGCGTCAAGGGATGAATGATATTTTAGGATATGATGCCGTTCCCGACCCCAAAGTAATTGAAGCTGGTTTACGTGCCTGCCGACGAGTTAACGATATAGCTCTAGCTATTAGATGGCTAGAAGCTTGCAAGGATAGATGTGGAGATAAAGTGGATCAGATATACCCATATTTGTTAAGTCACATCCGTCCAACCCTTTATGAGCTTGGTATTCCGACACCAGAGGAACTGAATTATGATAAACCGGAATTAGCTGTAAAATCAGTATTTGATATGTGAAATTATGAGTTTTGACCGCATGAATAAATATTGAAAAAGTTTTTCGAAATGCATATTTTTATTATTCCATCACATTTTCTATTACATGACCATACATAATCTAATTATGAGCATCGCTACATATTTCTATTGAAATTTATGTACAAATTGGTAAAATTTTTCCGAAAGTTATTATTGAAGTATACAAAATATTTTACAGGCACCTTATTTACAAAAAAAAAGGAAACAAATCTAATGAAATTACGATTTCCACTTTTTGAGCAGCTCTGCTGCCTTTTCTAAATTTTCTTGCTTCTTAATAAAACAATAACGAACAAAGCTTTCGCCAAGATTTTTATGATCTTCGCCATAAAAGGCACTTGGAGGTATGCCCTGCAAACCCATATTTTTTGTCATCCACTTAGTGAATTTATAGTCCTGATATTGGTCCCCCTCTGAGCTTAAATCAATCTTGTTGCCTGAAATTAAAAATTTGATTTTTTTTTTGTGAAAATAGAAAAATAAAACACATACCCAATTTACTCCAATCCGCTAGCATGAAATAACCACCTTCGGGAATAGTGGGCTTTAGACCGGCATCATTTAAAAATTTCGCCATGAAATCACGCTTAACCTTCAGTTCCTGAGGCAAACTATTAAAATAACAATCAGGAGAATTCAGACGCTCTAACTCTAACTCAAATCCTCTTGCGACTGCTTCTTGAATTGGCGTTGGACACGTATAAACCGAATTTTGATGCACCATTTGCAAATTGGTTATTAGATTAGCTGGTCCATAAGCCCAGCCGATTTTCCAGCCAGTTACCGAAAATGTTTTGCCGGCAGAGCCAATAGTAATTGTACGTTCCCACATACCGGGGAGTGTACAAATGCGTATATGTTTTGCATCATCGTAAACCATCCATTCATAAACTTCATCGGAGAGACATAAAACGTTCCATTTGCGGCATAGAGCTGCAATGCGTTCCAATTCTTCGCGATGGAACACCTTGCCAATGGGATTGTGTGGTGTATTCAATATAATCATTTTGGTCTTATTGTTAAATAGTTGTTCAAGTTCAGCGTCATCTAGCACCCAATCCGCTGAGGTGATTGTGCCATTCGACTTATTCTGTGAGAAGAGAATGAAAAATTACGAGATTTACATTTAAGGTAGTAATTTTTGGGTTGCATATATCAAACACCATACCGGTTTCAATGCAATGAATCGCGGCACGCCGCCTGCCATTTTTACCATTGGTTCGTAGCAGTCAAAAAATGGTTCAATGATAATTACTTCGTCTCCTACATCAATATGACCCATTATAGATGAATAGAGCGCTTCGTAAGCACCCGATGTAATAAGTATTTCGCTAAGTGGATTTATTTCACGATCGACTAACTTGGAATAAAGTTTGCTCAGCGCTTGAACGAGTCTTACATGACCCTAGAACGAAGATTTGATTATACTATAATACTAAAAGATAACCGAAATGGACATTATTGAATATTTGAAATAATCAACGACTTACATAACCACGTGTGTACTGTTGCAGCATGGGATTATCACTCTTAGCGATATCCGCTAAGGCATCTGTTACATAGGATGGCGGAAGCTCGTCTGGAAAGCCCTGACCTAAATTGAGTGGTTTATACTGCATCGCCAATGCAATGTACTCATTCCTGCGACGTATAAATAACAAATATTAAGGATTTGCTTCGAAACATAATTTTTGTTTTTATTTTACATACCAAACACTTGGCTTACTGCCTTGCAATCGTTTTGGCAATCCAAATTTCTCCATTGTTATATTTGCTGTTGCCTTTTGGTGCAAACTATTAACTGCAGCACTTAATATATTTTGTTTACCTTGTAAGTTGCGAGTCTGTTGGCACAAAAGACGTGTTGGCAGACTAAGCATCTGAAACGAAGAGTGCCATCAAAAAATTTTTATATATACACAAGAAAAACCCTTATCAATGAGCTTAGGTACGTTTGTACATAAATACATAGCTAACAAAAAGTGATTATTTGATAAGCAATTAGGTATTTGCCTACATTGAGATTTTCTATATTAAAATGGTAAGATCACAGGAAATAAATGCAATTGGTTTTTATAAAAATATAAATGCGCGTGCTACGAGCTACTAAATGCGACTATTCTACAAAAAAGCCGACTTATTCAAAATAGAGCTGTTGCATAATACATTTATTTAAATAAATAAACTGAGATATTAACATATATATACATATGCATGTATGTACAAGCTTGTACGCCATTAAGTTTGTGACACTGCAATTTTTTCGCTAACGCCAGAAATTCTTACTATTTTTCACATTTTATATGTAAATAGATTCTATTTCATGAGTATCAGATGAAAGTGAAATTTCTTTTCATAACTCTAGCAGATTTTATATTTAATTATAGTTATCTATTTTAGAATTCGAATTCACTTAAGCATATCAATTTTATTTATTTTAATTCACATTCTACAAATCATAGTATATATTTGTAAATTAAAAGTAATTGAATATGTGCACACGAGTATTAAACAAATAGGTACTTTTCATGGCATTTTTCCGCATTAATCAGGAAAATTAACAACTGTTGCTCGCGTTATAAACAAACAAATACAACGAGAAGTGTTTTGACACACGAATGTCAATAAAAAAAATTGCTGTCGCTGACTTTAACTAATTTTTACTTTTCCTCAATTGCTTTCAGGGACGTTCAGCCAAAGATAATAATGTCTTTGGTTTAGTTAGGCACTGCAGTTGCCTATGTACATATATTTATGTATTAAAGATTTTTCCTTAAAAAATTCATTCTGATATACTTAAGTGTTTTTGTATTTACAGATATTAGCAAAAGAATGCAAAAATGTAATTGGCCAAATCGCACATGCGCAATAGTTGACATTTTTCTCACTTGTTGCACTTGTAGAAATTATTTAATCAGTGTGTCTCTTTCCTTCGTTAAACGTCATCATCAAAATTACAGGGCTGTCTTTTTTCAGCTAGGGGATTTAAAACGCTTTGAAGCACTCTGTGTTAAGGTTTTCAAATGAGGTTGGGTTTTAATGTTTACTAAAATTTTTTTTTATTAATTTTTATTTTGTCTTGAACAAATTACTTACGTTGTGGATTTTATTTCAATATCTCATAGCAAAAAATATGTAAAAAACGCTGTTTTTTATATAATTTCTTTTATTGAGTTTTCTTATAAAAAAAATTAAGTAAATTAGAAAAGAACATATGTTATTAACAATTTCTTATCACTCTAATAAAACGCGCAGAAATATACCATACTTATTAAAAAGTAAGCAATTGATGTAAATAATGAATCACCATATATGATATATAATCATATTATAAAAGAATTGTGTTAATGAAATAGTTAAAATTGTTTTATTTAAATTACTCATATATAATATATATATATATATATATTTAATGTTTAATGCAGAAAGTTAGTAAAATATAATGAAAGCAAAAGAGTTTTACATAATATGTAACTGCTTCATACATACATAAATGTTATATTATTAGTTTTTTATTTAGTTTTTTTTTCTGTAAATTGACTTTTTATTATTGCAATACTACTTCTATGTAGTATTGTAAATTCTCGTTATATACGCACAAATTTTTTATATATATTATATATATATTTATATTTTATTTAATTATTTACTATTATACATACATATAATTTCCTTAAGTGTATATGTATGTAATGTAAGTACACCAGCATTTCTTTAAGTTTTATTCCGTTACATATATGTATGTACACATGTATTTTTCCACCCACCGTTTGCTGTTTTTTCATGGTTTTGTTACAATGTGTTTCATTATTATTATTATTTTTGTTTTTTTTTTTTACAATTTTTCTGTGCCTTTAAGCAACTAATGCTATGTAACTTAAATCACAGATATCACTAATGCATGATTCAATTGAATTATTTCGAGCTCTAAATCCTGCCGATTTGTGCTGGAACATTAGGTTATAAAAATATCTGTGTCTGCTTAACTTTAAGTTAAATATTATTTAAAAATGGCCGTATGAATAATATTTATAATAAAACGACGCAGGTGTGTATGTATGTATTAAAAATGTTTTCCATATAAAAATTATCTATTTTTAACTGTGGAGGTTAAAAAATAAATCATTAATTATTTATTTTTATTTTATTATTTTCATTTATTGTAATGCAAACACATTTTCAACACAACCAATTAAAAAATAAAAATACAAATTAATGGAACCTGTTTTACGTTTACTCGTTTTTATTAAATTTATTAACTCAATTTCGCCTAATCGAGCTGGGCAGAATAGCTCTTGTGTGAGACGTATTGATGTTCTTTCATCTAAGGGAAGAACCTACAGTTTATTCTAAGCCACCTCCGAACGGCTAACGGAAATCAGAAATGCATTCAGCGGGCCCAATCATTTAGTAGTATTTTGTAAACAATATTCGTAGCATTAAATTTATTGAACAATTTACTTCAGATTATTTAGCGTTAAAGCGAAATTAGGCGCACACACTTAAGGAGTCGTCAGACGTAGCAAATAATTAATTTAGCTTAAAAGATTTCATAGAATTTGAATATCAATCTCTGGAAATTAATAGTATAAACGGCCATTTTGTTAAATTAAATTTTTGGTTGGTCATACAGTGCATTTTTTTATTTCCTCTATATTTCTGTTCGCTTTCGGATGGACAATGCAGGTCAGTTTGGATGAACTTTATTTGGCAAAGTGAATTTTTTTGTGCTAAAGGCCGCGACTCTTCATTCAAAAACAAAACACTTTTATCATAATTTTTGATGTAGACGACTGCGTTCGGTAAGGCGAAAGGCCAGTCTAAGTCGCAACGATAGAGCGCAATCTTGACTCTTGATTTCTTTATTGTCTAATTCTTATAGTACAATTACCCGAGAGGCATCGAAAAGTAACGGGTCAGCTGACATAACCTAACTTAACAGGAAGGTGTACAAACGATTATTCAAATCGTAGAGAAGTGCTGCAATGTGATTTCTACTCACAGACTCACTCTAAACAACTTTTTTTGTATATCAGGTGTAGTACAAATAAGTCTATAATTTTTCCAGTATATGGCGATATTTATCTGTATCTCGCGTTGTATCAGACCGGTCTGGTTCCTCTAGATGTTGACAGATTTGTGATTGGTTGATTCAGTTTTGTTTGAGCGTGTGTCAAAGATGGACACTAGCAAAGAGAAAATATGTTAATTTTACAGTTTTTCTTCGATGGGGGTGAAAACGCAAGCCAGGCGGCTAAAAATGTGAATAGCGTTTCATTCCGATAATTTTGATGTAGAAGATGCTTCACGGAGTGGAAAGCCATTTGTCGAAAATGTCGATAAAATCATGAACATTGTCGAGTCCGACCGTCATGTAAGCTCTGTTTCAATTGCCCAAGAGCTAAAGATTGCACGAAATACCGCTTAAAACCATTTAAATAGGGATGGATCATTCAGCTACTGGACCACAGTGCTCAGTAAAAAGAAACCAAAATAATATATCGCGTTAATAATTAAAAATAAATGAAATTATAGTTTATTTTCGGAAATATACATACATACGTATGTATTTCATTTGGCTTTCATACATACATATGTATGTATGTATGTAATTTGTTTTTCAAACTGTATCGCTTATTTATTTATTTTTTAGTCTCTCGCAAAATAAAATCAATGATTCCCATAGAAACCTACGATTACTTAACTTTACTTTAATTTACGATATCACCGAACAGAGCTAGTGTTCAACAAGTGAGAACCACGAAATTGTGCCAGAGAAAATCACAAAATTAGCAACTCGTTGCAGGAAGATGCATTTTGTCTTTATTTTGGATTATAATACATAGCCATGCAAAAAAAAACTTAAACTTGCTGCCAACCTAAATGTTTGTTATGAAACAGACTTTGCTTTCAATTAAATTTTGCCCTTCAGGCAGTCCAATGGCTCTCAAAATGTGTATTTGTGTAAAATGCATATGAATCAAAGCTGCAAGATTCCTAATGAGTAATTGCATACTAATGTGTTTTAATGTAAAATTTAGAAACTGTTTAGTTTTTATTAACAAAGATTATTTTGATTGCAATAATAACAATTTACGGAGACTATAAAATTCATATTACAAAAATCTTTGCAAAAAATGTTGAAATTATTTAACAAAATACGCAAACCTGGCGAGAAGTGCGGCCTATTGACGATGCAAAGAAAACCGCATTTTGCACCCAGAATTAAATTCAATTGAAAAGTGAGACTTTTGCATCTTTTGCGTGAAAAACTGATTTTTGCGCTCAGTTTAGCAATAAATTTTGCGAATTAGTGAATCGAAGAAGCCACGCAAAAAAATGAAGACGTTATTATTAGGCTAAAGATAATTGCTGGCTGTTATTTGAACAAGAGCATTCTTCATTAAAAAATAAAAAAGGTTTTAGTGGATATTTTCGGATAATTGCTGGTGATAAAAATTCTATTGGTGATATTTATGTAATATGTAATATTAATATAATTGATGTATTATAAATGTAATTAAAAAGGGTTTCCGTTATTTGTAATACGTCTGTGTGCTAATGCATTTAATATATATTAAATAAATTATATTGTTTAAATTATAATATGATTAAATGTATTATATGTATTTTATTCTTTTAAGAAAAACAATATTTTTTTTTTAATTTTAATGCAAATTAATAACGGTTGCATTATTCTTTTTTTGACGATAGCAAACAGCTCATTTCGGATAACTTCATTTTTAAATGCAATCACTTTTGCCTAAAACTAGAAAAATATATTCTTATCTTATATGTTGTAGGTATTTTTGCTTTTCTGCCGTTTTCACTGCATTTTATTGTTGTTTTTATTGTTTGAATAAAACTATATTGTTGACAAATGCTGTTGTGATATGTTCATGTTCTTTTGTGAAAATATCAAATATCTATTTTAAATACATGCTAATATTATGCGGATATACATATATTAAATATGTATTTATGTATGTATATTAGTATGTATTTATTTGTGTATCTATAAATGTATGTAGATCATGGCTTGTAACAATTCCTGTGACACTACTTGTCTTTTTATAAACGTTTCAATAACTCCTCTCATGCTAAGTCAAGCTTCAGTATATATAAATGTATATATATTTATGTCGTGTGTATGTGTTATTTATCTTCTGCTTGTTTCGTTTCGTCGTTTTTTTGTTTTGTTTTGTAATTTTTGTCTCTAAATGGCACAAAGTAAATTTTCTATTAGTTACAAAATCCATGCCACTACATTTATTTTAAACATCCCTCCATCAGTGGCTATCAGACTGTGTTATCAACTAATTGGTGGTAATTGAAGACATTAGCTCAACAAAGCTCTCGAACTGTTGCGCGTACGATATATGTCAAATATATTTGACTGTCAAGTATGGCCGCCATTTCCTTTTCAAAGTTCGTTCATTCGTATACTTTCATTTCGTGCTCGTCCATTTCACAGCACGCTTTAGACATACACTTCCGGACAATCTTCATCTTTTATCGATGTGTATTGCACCTTCTTGGCTACATTATCAAAAACGGGCGTAATTATATATTTAATACGATCACGACTCACATATACAAGCGCTACCACCAGTCCAACCAATATCATACTCAATACGATCAGTAGGAAGATAAGTGTTACGGTATGCTGATTCATATGCGGCCGTCCAGACGTCGTACCATCAGCACCTATACTCTCATCGAAGCTGCTACTGCCGTAATGTGAATTTGTCGCTGTGTTGAACATCATTGCCGCAGCCGCTACTGCCGCCGCACAACCATCCATATTTAATTCCATTATGGGCAGTGGTTCCACATCGTTGTGATAGCACATTAGTGTCTTTTTATTACGCACAGTTACATTCGTCGACAGCACCCACGTATGGAATGAGCTTATTTTGCAGTCGCAGAGAAAGGGATTAAGATTAAAGTCGACAATGAGATTAGTGGTGCGATCGCTGCGTGTTTCCAACTCGTTCAACAACATCATATCGTGTGTTTTCACATATTCAAACTTATTGCGTTCCAAATCGAGAAAGCGAAGATTCTTCAGGCAGCGTACCTCAAAATTGATCTCTTTCAGTAGATTATCGCCCAAATGTAAATCACGCAGACTGGGCAGATCACAAAAGACGTTGCGATCTTTGAAGTGCGTAATTTCGTTTTGCTCCAAATGTAGTTTCTGCAACTTCGTTAATTGGCTATTAACGAATATATCATGCAAATCTTCACTCAATTGTGGCGAGCTATTATCAGCAAAGGCATCGGTAAGATGTAGACTTTGTAGATTTAAGAAATTGGAAAATACACGTGGATGGTGATGATTGACTTCGTCGTCTTCACGTGAAATGCTCAAATTGTTGTGATTCAAAATTAAACGCTCCACATTCGGTACGTGATGATAGGATTTACCACGTATTTCACGTATGTGATTGTTACTCATATCTACAATTCTGAGATTTTTATAGTCATTTATCGAGCCGAACACATTCCAAGGTAACTCGGGTACAATATTGCCGGTGAAGATTAAAATTTCAACCTCCTCTGGCATAAATTCCAGTACGGTGGTGTTGTGAATACCGGTGTTTGTACAGTTCACAATGTAACTAACGGTGCCTTCATATAGTTCGTGACCACAAAGGCAAGCTTCGGGAAAATTCGGACCACAACTGGTTGAACCTGTGGGCGGTGGTGACGCTGTGACACAGAGGCACGCAATGGCGAGTAAAGCGTAAAGTAGCAAATGTGTTTTAATGTTTGAAGTGGCTTCCATTTTGTGTCTGCAATAAAAAAAATAATAGTCAAATAAATTTATATACATATGTAAGTAGGCGTATTTTACAAGTAACATAAATAAGATATTTTTCTAAATGAATGAGCAATTAGCTTAGCGTTCGGTGAAGATTTGGTATTCAAGGAAAGATGGCATTTTTTGAGATACATGATCGGATGTTTATTAAAATGTAAAGAGGAAGATATGCCGTTTTCAATGGCAAGTAATGTCAGCCAAATGACGCCACGGCTAAGCTTACAGAACCGTATCATATTTATGAAATTTTCCATCACCAAATCGCAAAGCGGCTGCTGTATGTTCTCACTAGCCTCACGAATTCCATTTTTGACGCCTTGACTCGATGTTGGCCGATTGACTTATACCTTATCTTTCACGTGACCCCCAAGGAAAGAAGTCGCAAGGTGTTAAATTATCAGATCTCCGTGGCCAATGGCGATTCGGTCTTTGAGAAATAACACGATCCGCAACGATTCCTTTAAGAGAACGATGGTTTCTTGCTTTTGTGGTAGGCAGCGCAGCGCAGCAGGTCCGGAAACCTTCCCCTTAAGAAATCTATAGTTTTATTGCTTTTGCGGCACGCAGCGCAGCCTTGTTGAAAGTAATCAATACCATGCAATTCCGGTCACAAAAAATCATTAATCCTCTCTTGATCGCGAAATACATTAACAGCAACTGTTGCTGCAGCCTAATTTTAGAAAAAGTAAAGTTCAATGAACCCGCCGGACCACAAACCGCATCAAATAATTATATATTAGGAATGGAGAGGCTTTTCAACATAAGATCCGAACCCAGGATGCGACAGTTTTTCTTTTAGAAGCAGTCATAGACCTCATCATCCAAGATGATTTTTCGATGAAATTTCAGATTTTACTAGTCAAACGTCAAAAAATTACTGCTTCCAGAGTGATACCTACTGGAATAACACCTCTTATTAGAAAACCCCTTACGCACTGGGTGCGAGGGAATCATCACCATTCAGGCAAAGCTCATCAGTATAGGCAAAAACGCCACTCCCATTGATATACATAACTCTCCCAACACTAAAATTGGCTGGAGCCAGCGTTTGCTTCTCAACTGGCCCACAACCTCTCACCTCCACACTTTCTACTATGCATATTCGCCATTCACACAATTTACTGTTTTCTCTCATGTTTTCAATGCATTTCATAACATTGAAAGCTCTCGAAAAATCAAATGCAGAAATTTGCAAAGTTACTTTCGAACCTAATGAAAAGGCGTCATTGAGTCCCAATAATGGATTCAACTACAGTAAGCAAACAAGTTGAGGGTAACATTGCCGCATGATGATAAAAAAATATTGAGGCTTGACCTGAACTTTCAATGCTAACTACTATTTCTTACTTCGGCTGCTGTCACTCTAAATGCTTCTTCGTGCTGTAACTTATTGTTTTTGCTGGGCTTTTTGTGTTTTTCATGCTGAGCATTTTGCACGGTTCAAAAATTTATGAGTAAAAACGAGGAGATTTACGATTATTAGGCATCAGTGTTGGTATTCTCATACACATACATACATACATACATACATACATACATACATACATACATACTACACTCTTATCTCGGCGAGTGTGTGTATGCCTATTTGCACAACTGAAAGGTCTTAAATGAATGAATGAATGAATGAATGAATGGGAGCGTAAATTGAATGGGTGGCTTTGAAATAAACTACATACGCAAAGTGCAGCTTCCCAGCGGTTAATCGCATATTTAGTAGGTTTGACACTGTTATATTTGCATCTATTCGGACGACATGTGGTACGTTTCTAAGATAAGTGTCTTGGCGGAATTATGAGTGTCAAGAGTGAGTGATGTAGAGACATGTCCCGGGTCTGCCGATAGGTTGTTAAAAAAAGAAAAAAAAAATATTTGACTACCCTGCCCTGCCCTGGCTATTCACTCCGCTCGAGGTTTAGGTCTAGCTTGGAGAAAGCAAAACAATTACTTTTATAGAAGATTAAAATTTTTCGGCAGCTCATATTTATTTAATTACAGCTAATATCTAAGCTGGTGGGGTAAGAGGGAGAGCATGTTTTGAAGAGGAGAAGGAGAGGAGAAGGAGAGAGAATTGAAGGCTTTAAGAGCCGTTTTGATAGATAACTTTTTGCTCATTCCTGCCATAGAATCCTTTACCCTTTTGGCAAAAAAATTGTGGCAATCGATCTTCACAGGCTTCTCTTGAGGCCAATTCTTCACCAGCCATAACATTCGCCATAAACAGGAGCTTATGGTAGTCACTTGATACGAGGTCCGAATTATTAGGTGGATGTATAAGAATCTCCCATCAAAGCTATCGTAGCTTCTGGCATATCACTACCGATGTGTTTTTGATACGATTCGCTTCCTATAGGCCAAAGCTGGGCACTTGCATCCTTCAGACGGACCAACAGCTGCAAGTAACGATGCAAATCAAGGGCAGGGGTGCAGCTTATAGTGGATGATTCCTTTCGAATCCCACCAAGAACACAAAAAAACTTTTCTGGCCGTCAATTCTGGCTTGGACGTCATTTGTACCGGCTCGACTACGACCGTTTCTATTTGATGTTGCTGTAAGTGATTCACTTTTCATTACGAGTCACTATCCGTTTCAGAAATGGGTCGATTTTGTTACGATTTAGCAGCGATTAACAGATGGGAATTCGGTTTATGAGTTTTTTTTTTCATTTTAATTCATTTGGCGCACCCACATATCGAGCCTCTTTATGTATCCAGCCTTTTTCAAGTGATTCCAATCTGTTTTCTGTGCAATATTTAGCTCCTGGACAATCGAAACAGTGCTCGTGTGACATTCAGACCGACGATTTTCATTATTTTATCGCTGTAGTATTTTTTGCATCAAAATTACCGGAGCGAGAACGATGAAACCAAAAATAGTGCATGATAAACTGCTACAGCTTTAGGACCATAAACACTATTCACATTTTCACCTCCCTGACTAGCTTTTTCGCCTTTATCGAAGTGAAATTGTAGAATATAGCATATTTTCTCATTGCTGGTGTCCGGCTTTGACATGTGCTGAAACACTACCGAGTTAAGTGATCGACGATTCTTCCGTTATCTTTTTTACTACAACATATCATCTTTCCAATGTCAACCTGAATAATCCACTCGCACTTATAGAACGGAAGATAATAGATTCCTTTCTACTAGAACTAATATTTAACCTTTATTGCATTGCTTGAGCCCAATGACTCTTGAAAGACCTCGGAGGTGAACTCCATAGGAAGAATGAGAAGTGCTACGGCTTGGTTTACCTTTGGAATGTATTAGGTGGAGCTCGATGGTAAGCTCTTTGTAAAAAATTGGGAGTAGACCGCAGTGACTTTTCCTCCCGTTTTGGAGATGGAGCGCGTGGATCATTCCATTGTTGTGACGAGATATTTATTTGAATGCTTTGCCTCTTCAAAATTGGCAGGGCGAGTGAGTGGTCAAAGCGATTTTTGAAGCACAATATTATTGTTTCAGTTATGCCTGGGGCAAGCAAGTTCCAAGCAAACTGTTGTGTCGAGATTGTATTAAGCGCGTTGGCTCCTTAAAATTGGTGGAAATAGAGTGAGAGATCTTCGAATGGTTTTGTAAACCAAGCTGACATCACTTAGTAACACAATTTCTCAGCCAGTTTAGGTACTGGCAAATATCTAAGCTTTTAATAATGCACGTTTTGGAATATGCACCAAGAACCTCGAGTTTGACATCTAAATAATAGACTCATATGCACATCAAATGGTTGGAAGCACACCTAATGCCTGAAAGAACGCGAGGGATATTGACTAAATAGAGTCATATTTTCTGATATCTCGTCATATTTTCTGTCGGACCGTGTGTGGAGATCCTTCCTGTAGAAGTATTTTCATCGTAACATAGTATAGGCAGTCGTATAAGATAGGCTGGAATACCAAAACACTATATGGTAGCATAGAGTTGCCTCTTTTGTTTGATATCGAATTCAGCTTTAAGTCTTTATAAATGTAAATATTTTTCTGAAACCGGGTTACCTCTCAGCACGGAATGCCAACCATTCCGAGTGTACTTTTGAGCTTCTCATAAAAATCTACATCAGCTCACTCATGCCTACAGAAATACATATAGTACTATATTTTCTCGCACACGATAATTGTTTTGAGCTACTATATTTATACATATGTATGTACGAGTATGTTTGTATGCCAAAAATACCTAAGTAAGCTTGTACTTGACGACTCTACTGGCAATTGAAGTGCAAAAGTTTTTTTTTTTTTAACACATTTGAGCTGCAGGAGTTCCCATCGCGCTGTTTGGGGTAAGTTCATAGGTCAACGGTGTATTTATTGTGTGATCAGAGGAGATATATCTACATACATACATATGTATAAATATATATATATGTGTATATGTATAAATAAAACGAGTGTTTGCACAAGAGCTAAAAGTTATTTAAAGCTGCATGTATGTATGTGTGTATGTGAGTTTGCATAAAAGTTTGTTTACTACTGAAGTTTATGTCTATGTATGAGTGTGTGTGTGTGTGTTTATGTTAAGTTATGAGTTGTAGGTTACCTAAATATGCTGTAAAATATTGTATTAAAGTTGTTTCGAACTAAAAAGTGCAACACTTTCTTATGGTTCTTATTGTAGGTGCGCATACATATATACATAAATGGAGTATATGCATACATACATATTAAGTATATAATATACGTATAGCTAAATTAACACGGTTGACATCTCTTTCAATTAATTTGTTTATTTCTTTACAAAATCTTGAAATTTTCAGTATAAATTAAAAAATCAAGTGACTTTCTCTTAGAAGTTGATTGTATTGATAACGATGTTTGGTTAATATGTATGCATATACGTATGTAAATTTTCAAAGTATAATATGTTTGGTGCTCCATGGTAGAGTGTTGTGTGGTTCTTTAGCTGAGAATATTGGAAGTAGATGAATATATTGCATATTGAATGAATTGCAGCCACAATAGACGAGTGGTT